CATGAGTGTGTGCCTGCGCAGGTACGTGGGAGACAGAGAGGGTGTGGCCTCCGTGGGGTTTTTGGTCAGGGTCAGCGGGTGCTCAGAGCAGCCCTGGGGGTGACCTTGGCGACCAGAGATCTGACGGCACCAACCGCTCTTCCAGACACTCGGGAAGGCAGAGGCAGCGTGGCGTGATGAGGGTCTTGTCCAGCGTACCCCAAACCTGCTACAGAGCCCAGGGCCAGGCCCTCTCTGGGGGGTGGATAATCATATCTAAGCTCTCTCCAGACCTGACATCATGAATTCCTAATTCTAAGAGAAAGGGGAGCCCTGGTCTCTGTATCGGAGTTACTGCGACCTCTCTTCCTGAGCAGCCTCTCCTCCGCCCGGGAGTGCCGTGGCTGTGAAGCCCGCCAAGCCCACCTCAGCTAACTCAAAACAACTGGGTGCACTGCTCTCTACGCAGCCTCCAGCCTCGGCTACGGGGGTGGGCGAGGGGTGAGGGGGGTTGGGGTGAGGGGGTGTGGGGGTAAGGCCAGGGGGATGGGGATGAGGATGGGGTGGGGATGGGGATGGGGATGGGGATGGAGTGGGGTGGGGACCACACACAGAGAGACTCGAGAAGCACACAGGGCACAGCGAGTGACTATTTTGCGAGGCCCTCAGCCTATGGCGCCCTCTCGAGTGATGGTTAAATGTCCACACCCAGCAGGTGTCAGCCACGTGCCGGCGAGGAGATGAATGTCCAGCATTAAGGGATTTGTCCCAAAGCACTGTCTTAAGACCGTGCTGTCAGGCCCTGGCTGGTTCGACTCAGTGGAGAGAGCATCAGCCTGGGGATTAAAGGGTCCCGGGTTCGATTCCAGCCAAGGTCACATGCCCAGGTTGCGGGCTCGATTCCCAGTGTGGGGTGTACAGGAGGCAGCCGGTCAATGATTGTCTTATCATTGATGTTTCTATCTCTCCCTTCCTCTCTGAAATCAATAAAAAATAAAATAAACTGCAAAAAGGATTAAAGAAAAAGGCTGTGCTATCAGCCAGGTTTACAGGAGACCAGAAGAGCACATTTGAGCACTAGATGAGGGCTTGGAGAGGTCGATCCTTCTGCTCTGAGCCGTTCAGACGGTTTGGGACGCCTGGGCAGGTGGGCCTCTCGTACACACCTGCCGGCCGGTGGCTGGGACACTGTAGCAGTGTCCAGGGGCTGGGGACGTGATGGGCTCCCCAGAAGTCATGGTCACCACATTCCAGCTGGTTCAAATTGGCCTGTCCCCCCCCCCCCCCCCTCGCCCCCCATTCCCTGCCTGGAGCACCTGCGGAACTCACTTCCAACCACAAGAGGGCGCCGTTGGTCAGAACACATCTTACAATTCTGCAGCCCAAGTTCCCCCTCAGGCTTCTACCTATCTCTGCGCTTGGCTGATGCATTGGTTTATTTCTATAACTAGGACACAGGATGTTGGAAGCTGTGCATATGGCCAGGCTTGGCAGACAGGCTGCTCCCAGGTGACGGCCCTCCTGGCTTCGTCTCCTGAAAGCCCTGCCTCCTGCGAAGGGGAAGAGAACGGGCCTGGGACCTGGACCGGGAGGCACACAGGGCAGCACCTCCCCACTTTCACGGACCCCCTGACGGCTCACTCCCCACCCTCCAGCAGGGCACGATGCCCCCAAACCTTGGCATTGCCCTCTCTGTTGCATCCTTGAGGCAGCCCCAACTTCACTCCCCCTGAATACCTCCTCGTGGTGTTGGCGGTTGCTCCCTCAGTCCTACCCTCCTTTCCTGGCCCTGCCCAAGGTCCAGGGGTGTAGCAGTCCCCCCAGTGTCCTGGCCTCCCCTCGGGCTGTCCCTGGGTGGAAACTCAGACACTGCATCTCCCCACCCAGAAGTCCTTAGGGCTTGTCCTGGGCCTCGCCGATCTTGGTGAGGTCTTTGAACCAGCAGCATCAGCGACACGGGGGGCATGTTTGATATGCACGAAGGGGGGCCCCACGTTGGCCTCCTGAGTCTGATCCGGCGCTTTGACAGACTCCAGGAGGCGTGGGTGCACGTTGTGGCTGGAGAAGCAGGCCCGTGTCACCACGCCCCCTCCGCCCCTCTGCTCTCCCCACCGCGGCCCTTCTCTCTGCGAATGCCTTTCCTGCTCGGTCACCCCGGTTTCTCTTCGCATCCCTGCCCATCCCTGCTCCGTGATAAATTGGGCTTAAACCAGAGGAGGGGGAGGGAGTAAGTCCCACACACTCGCTCCCAGCCGGCCTGGGGACCGAGATGCAGCTCAGCCAAGAGCTAGACAGATGTGATGCCGGCTGACCACAGACCTCACTCCCCGGCAGGGAGCGGCCCAGGCCTCGCATCTGGGCTGTTCTCATGCAGCTCCCTGCTCCCACCCAGCCAAGGGCGGTGGGACCCACAGCTGACGGGCCTGTGTGGCCAGTTTGTGGCCTCCGAGGGCCACCCGGGCAGAGTTAGCAGGCGCATGGGCACCCAGGCCTGTGAGCCCTGGGGCGTTAGAGAGGACACCAGGGAATGGGTAAACCCCAGAAACGGTGTACTCCAGCTCCGTGCCTCTTTTGATTATTTAGGTCAGAAGTGAGCTCATCGGCCTCCCTCAGCTGCGGGGCAGCTGGCCAGGGCGGCCCTCTGATCCAAGCGCTTCAAGGTTGGAGGCCATCATGTGTGTGCTGAGACACTCGGTGTGGCTGCCAGACGCTGAATGTTTGCCCCCCCCCCACCCCCCGTTTGCTCCCCTGCCACCGCCTTCAGCCGTCAGCCCCTAGCCCGGCACACCGGGGTCCCCCTTGGAGGCAGCTTCTGCAAGCATGAGGCGCCCCATCTCCTGGGCATATGAGATCGCATATTTGGGAGCGGAGAGGGGGTGTCGCAGGGCTCCCTGGGCTCCAGGTCCCTCATGCCTGTGGGCAGGTCCAGACCCTCCTTAGCCAGCTGGTGGGTGGAAGGATGGGACCCTGTGGGCTGCTGAGCCTCGGCTCCTGGGCGTGGGCCTCTCACACGGCCTTGCTCTGCGGCTGCAGCCCTGTGGGGGGCGCCTGGGAGGCTTGGAGGGTCTCTACATCTTACATAAGCTGCCTTATGTGTGTTAAGTCTAGGCACCTCTGAGTCACTGCTCCCAAAATAGGGTAAGAGGCGAGACGAGGTGGGCGTAAGAGAGAGTTTTCTTGGCCCCGAGTTGGGTTCTGGTGTGTGGGCATCTTCGCTGTCTGCTTCTGAGGTCAGGCCCCCTCCACATGTCCCCTGGCACCTGGCAGTGATGCAGGGACCCCTGGAGAGGAGGCCCCGCCTGGCCTGGCATTAGGGGGAAGCCCAGGGGTGGGAGGGGCGGGAGGAGTGTGCTTGGCCTGGGAGGCAGCATGCAGGCAGCTCAGAGCCCTGACTCCCAGCCAGACCATGGGGTTCTCTCCGTCTGTGCTCACTGGTTGTGTGATTTGGGGCGACTTAACCCGTTGGTGTCTGTGTCTCCTCTCTCAGCGGCCTCAGGGGGTTGTTGGGAGGATTAGAGAAAGACTGTCCTGACAAGCTTTCGGTGCGGTGGCTGGCCAGTCGCAGCCCGGAAGAACAAAAAGATCCCTCCTCCCAGAAGGAGGGTCTGGGGTTTCTGTTCCGTCTCAGCTTCCTAGCTTAGCAGCCCAGCCTGAGCCAGGCAAGTCGGCCGGCCACCTGTGTTGAGCCCTTGCTTTTGGGGTGCAGTGGGGACCGCTGTGAGTCCAGGTTCCTGGCACTGAGGCTTGAGTGATACACAAACAAAACAAAACAAAACCAGAAAACTTTGCCTCCGTAAGAACGAAGGCAGCTCAGGCGTTGTGTGTACAGCTGTGGAACACAATCACTGCCTTCCCCGTGTGCACCCGTGAGCTCTAATAGCAACACCGGGCAGGCTGTTATGAATGAAAGCGTGTGAGGCCTTGCACACTCACCGAGGCCTCTGCTGGTGTTGACCCTATACCCGGAGCCCCTCATTCTCCAGGGTGGATAAGAGCACAGAACCCACGGCCCACACCCACCCCGGTGTGCCTTCTGTGTCACCGTCGCTGTCTTTCCTTCTGAGGGTCAGGGAGGACTCGGGATAAGACAGCTCTGGCTTGTTTCCATGGCGTTTACAGCAGGCTTTTCTCGGACCGCAGAATTTCTGTTCCTTGCATGTCATTCTGACTTGCATGTCAACCCACAAGTGGCTCCCTTAGGTTCGGAGACTTGGAAGGTAGCGATTCCCCTCGGTGCCTCGCCTGCCCTCCTCTCGCTCCCGCGTGGATTGGCTGGCAGTGGCAGCTGCTGGCGTTGCACAATTGGCTCGGGTGTGGGATGCACCGGCGGAGGAGGAGGGCCTCCTGGTTTCCACGCTGTGACTCAGGCTCCGGTGCTGAGCTAAGTCAGGGCGGAGGGCATCACTCCACCGCAGCTCGGGGCCATCTCTGCCGTAGATGCTGCTGTTGCAAGGAGCCCTGCCTCCTCTCCCGTGTCCACCGGATGCTCGTGAGCCTTCCGATGCCTGGGGGCTTCTCTCCCACAGCTGCAGCAATGCCAGCAGGAGCAGTTTTCTAGCGTGGGCGAGCACGAGGACCTCAGATGCTAGGACTTGGGTAACATGTGGATCTTAAAACAACGTGTCCTGGAGGATTCAGCCAGCTGGTCAATCCAGCAAAGAAAATGACCCGGCGCCCCCTGTGGAACGAAAACTGAATGAGCTCCAGGGAGGAGGATGGGTGCTGCCTGGATCTCTGCCTTGTGAGATGGTTGTTGTTCGGTTGGGAAGTAAACAAAACACAGAAAATATTGGTGCGTCTTTAGATAAGAGCGGGTCCTGGAAATTGCCCCGGACGAGGTTCGTGGCAATGCTGCAGTCCGCTCCGACGCCTCCTTGGCACGCGTTTTACCTTACGGTGCGGATGTGGCACAAGGATCATAGGAGGAAGCATTTTATCCTAAGGTTTTCTTAGAGATTACGCGAAAGCCCCGTCTTCCGGCTGCGCACATTAATCGCAGATATTTCCCCCCCTCGTTTCAGCTTGCAAGATGCTGGCATCGGATTCATCCTGGTCATAGACCGGAGGCAGGACAAATGGACCTCCGTGAAGGCGTCAGTCCTGCGAATAGCAGTAAGTGTCCGCGCCCCGGCTCCGTGACGTCCCACCTGCTCTTCTCCGGGGCTTGGGGGCAGCAGTGTTTCTCTTCTAGCGACCCGCCTGCCTGGGTGGCATGCGGGTTCTGGCTGTCCCTCCGTGGTGCAGCACCGCGGCGTACAGCCAGCTCAGGGCACCACCCGGGTGGCCTGAGGCCCGGAGCCCCACCCCCTTGGCTTCCTCCAGTTGTGTGTGTGTGTGTGTGTGTGTGTGTGTGTGTGTGTGTGTGTGTGCACGCGCGCCTGTGTGCGTTCTCAAATGGGTTAACTCTTAGGGGGCCTGTTTTCATTAGAAAGCAATCCCAGCTGGCTTATTTCTGACCATTGAGTGTGAGAGCTGCCCGGGACCTTACTGTGCATTCATTCTTTATTAGAGCACCACTCAGTAACAGGGCACTGAGTGTGCTACAGAGAATCCATCTTCAGGCTAGAAGTTTTGTATTGAATGGGTTCTTCTAGGCGCCCCGCTCCTTTCCAAATGCACTGTTAGTCCATGGTTTTACGACTGACTCAGATGCTTGCGTCTTTCTCGGGAGCCCGTCCTGCATGTGGTAACCCCCCCCGCCCCCCCCGCCCCGCTGCCAAGGAATTTATCTTCACGTCCGTGGAGCTGTTTTTGCAGACTGCGTGCCGCCCTCCGGGGCAGAGCAGCTGGTCTGAGGCTGTGGCTGTGTTTCGCTTGCCGTGATTGCTTAGGAGGGAAGCGTTAAGTCAGCAGGGAGCCCTGCATCCTATTTTTGCCAGTAGCTCCCACCCCCGCTCACGATCTCTCACCACGCTGGCTTCCACCCACGCTCGCCTCCCACCCCCAAAGGACCAAAAAGCAATTGCTGGCAAGCAGGGTGACCCGGAGCGACTTGGCCGGGTCTCCCTCGGCAGTGATGGCTCCGCGGCTCCCAAGCGTTTCTTAAAAACCTAATCCCCGATGGAGTGACCTCCTACCCTCTTGTTCTGGGCCTTGCGTCCAGCCACCTTTGGTTCTTGGCCTCAGAGAGGCTGCTGTGCTGGGGTTCTGGGTGGAGGGGAAGAATGGACTCCTTCCTTACATTCTGCCTCATTATTTCATCTCAACAATCGTGAAAGGCTCGGTGTCTGCTCTGGCTCCTACCATTTACATCGTTTTGGGGCAAGCCTGTCTTTTGCCGGTGGATCCCACCTTTGTCTTTCGGATAAGGTGACCAGACATCCCGATTTAGGCGGGACAGTCCTGATTTTTAACAATTTGTCCCGCGACCCGTGGTGTTTTAAAAAAGTCCCGATTTTTGGAAAGAATCTGGTCGCCTTACTTTCGGATAAAGCATCTCCCTGCACCACCCCAGGTGTCTCCTGCCCAGGCCCCACCTGGCACACACTAGCTATGATCTCGTTTATCTGAAACCGACCAAAACCCTTCAGAGTGTTTCAAAAGAAGTCAATGTGTTACATCAGCGATTTTCAACCCTTTTCATCTCATGGAATACATAAACTACTAAAATCCTGCAGCACCCCCCAAAAATACATATTTTTTGCCAATCTGTCAAAAAAAATAGTGATAATTTTGATTCATTCACACCTATGCATATTGCTGTGTTGGCTATCGTCAATTTTTTATCTGATAATCTAAGGGAAAAGAGGTTGGCTCCTCTGACTAAATAGTCAGATATTATATGTCTTAAAAATTCTTGCAGCACATTGGTTGGGGGAAAAAAAATCACTGTATAATCAGATTTTCTTTGTTTTAAAATCCTCAGAAACTTACAGAGTAATCTTTTTTTTTTTTTTAAGGTATTTTTATTGAATTCAGAGAGGAAGAGAGGAGAGATAGAAACATCAATGATGAGAGAGAATCATTGATCGGCTGCCTTCTGCAGGCCCCACACTAGGGATTGAGCTCAAAACCCAAGCATGTGTCCTGACCAGGAATTGAACTGTGACCTCCTGGTTCATAGGTAGATGCTCAACCACTGAGCCACACTGGCCAGGCACAAAAGTACTGTTGAAATGCCGACGTGGTCACGGGCGTGCCCTGTGGGTCCAGGTCTCTCGTCTTTGCTGGAAAGTCCTTCTCTGCACCTTTGCACACGGGCATCTCCCTGGAAGGCCCTCACCCCAAGCTCCAGGTGGCTTTGCATCCGTCCACACCCCCTCGCCCAGCTCTCAGCAGAGCAGCACTGCCCTGGGAGTCTCCTGCTTTTTCTCTACTTGATGGAAGTTCACGGTCATTCTGTGTTTGCATATCTCAGCTTCCTTAAGGCCAAGGCCAAGCCCTGTCCGTCCTTGACTGGCTGGGCACCCAGCCCAGGCCCCATGTGAGGCAGGTTCGCCATAAATATCTCTCCAGTTAATCAGTTGCTCTTGGTTAGAAGCAAGAAGCTTCCCAAATGCAGGGTTGCTTTTAAAACAAAACAGATAAGTTGGAGGGAAGAGAGGTAATCCTTCAGATCACCCTACAATTCAGCAGTGTGGTCTGGGCCAGCTGCGCGAACTGTCACAGCCTAGCTCAAACCAAGTTTTATTCATCATCAAGTTTATAATCAGATTAATTGCTGAAGCAAGCTGGCTCCTCTTGAAAATTTGTTTTGTGGAAATCACAGCTAAGAAGTTGGTGTTTGAGTTTTTAGGGTTGCACTGATTCTTACAAAGTAAAGATATATTTATTGGCTTCTCTTTCCTATCTTTTTTTTCCTGTAAGTCACAGAGTTCCACAATACTGGTTTGGAAATCCCAGAAGTCAGCATTTTTCTAGCAGATTTGTCAGAGATTCTCTGCACTCTGATGCTTCTTGTTATACAAAATTACTGATTATTAATGCCAAAAATTCTATTAATGTATTGAACACATTTGTGAAAACCCTGCTCTGTGCCTGGAACATGAAGGCATTGAGGATATGAGGGGGGAACGAGCAAGAAATATACACCCAAGCAGGGTGCAGACAGCTGACAGACATTGTGGTCAGAGTTATGCCCAGAGACGCCAGAAAAATATATAGGAGGTGCCTGAGACAGCACAGGCCATAGGGGTGGGCAGGACACTACAAGCCAGGCCCTGCTAACACCCTCGAATATGTGTCCACCACTGAGCCACGGTGTCGGTCTGATCTCCGCCACGGCTCTGTGTTGCACGGCTGACTGTCCCAGGCAGGGGAGCTGGGCAGGCCCGAGCTAGCACTCATGCTGTCACCTGCAGCCAGCCTGTGCTCTTATCCAAGGGGACTCTGGGGAAACAACCACTCAGCACCCGCCAGGCCAACGCCCATGGGAGGAATCGGCACGTGGCCGGCTCCAGCGTGCATCCTTCCACCGGGGCACCCGGCCAGCTGCAGGCGCCACAAAAGCCAGCCGGCAGCGGCAGCGGCTCTACTCCTCTCCACGTGTGTCTGGACCCCGGTTGAGGCTCAGTCCTTACATAACACCACGGCGTTCGGGGCTATTTTTTGCCACCATGCGTACTGTCTCCGGAGCAGAGCTTTCCTTAGTTTGGGGTGTGGGTTTTCCTTTTCTGGATGCCTGCAGCTTGGCTTGGAAGAGAAGATTGGGGCGTCGGAGGAGCCCACGTCTAGTGTTCCTAAAATCAGACTTGCTGTGCCTCCATCCAAAGCACAGCCTTCATCGGCTCTCGTGGGCCTTGGGGACCGTGGGGGTTCTGACCTGGCACAGATCATGGTCTCTACCGGTGGACACAGGCAGAAACAAGACTCGAAGCTGAGAATTCAAACACTGCTCTTTGTCTAACAGTTGGTTCAAAGTTCGGACTGTCCTGGGATAGATGCCTCTTTGATAAAATACCAGTGTATATCTTCTAGGATTCCACTTCTAGGATTCCACTCCTACTACGTATGTGTGCGAAGAGAGAGAGAGTGTGTGGGTGTTTGTGTGTGTGCACGCGTGTGTGTAAGTATGTGTGTTAGCATGGGGGAGGGATGTAATAGAGTGTACATATTTAAGTTTAGAGCTAGCCTAATTCAAGCTAAATCTATGTCCTAGAGCAGTGGTCGGCAAACTGCGGCTCTCAAGCCACATGCAGCTCTCGAACCGCAGTTTGCTGCTCTGTTGACTAATGTGTTTGCCAACCACTGCCTTAGGTAAAAACACTTAAAATTTTTTTTAATAAATGTACTAATGTCTTTAACCTGAAGACAAAACTTCTGAGTAAGGGTAATGCCTTACGCAGTGCAGTGGTCGGCAGATTCATTCGCCAACCGAGCATGCCGCTGAAGGAATTTGCAGTCAAGGTCGTTTTACTCTGTGTGGGGAGAACTCGGGGTTTTGCCTGTAAAGCTGATGGCATCTGCGTGTGCACAGTGTCTGAAGGACCCAGGATTTTTAGGTCATTCAGTAAATACAGTGTATATGGCAAATTCAGTGTATATGGCAAAATAATATTATATTAAACAATGTTACTAAATGCCTACTGCGTGCCAGTTCCCGGAGGTCTAAGCACAGGTGGTGATGTCCAGGGAAGGGGAGGGCATGGGCAGAGGCACTGCTGGTCTCAAAAGGAGAGCAGGCAGCCCAGGTGTCCCCATGTTTATGGTATTGGTTGGAATGACTGTCCTTCATTCAGTGATTATCCCCTTCCTACTCATTTTTTCATTAAAATGTCTTTTCCTTAATGATGTTTATGACCCTCTCAACCATACTCACCAGGGGCCGGTCTTAGATGCCCCCACTGGCAGGTTTGCACCTAGATCTCCCCAGCAACAGCCCCGGCGGCTGGAAGCCTCTGCTCACAGGCAGCTTCTCTGATTCAGACTCTGCGTTTTTCATCTCCTAACACTGCAGTCCGAGCTTCCAAGTTCATATTTATTACACAAACTTGTGTTTTTTGTTTGGCTACTATGAGACAGATGTCATTGGTCAGGCTTTAGCAGCTCCACTTGAAATTAAACATCTAGCATCAGGCTGGAAAACTGGCTTTGGGCCCAAGTTAAGGCGGTGACTTGAACTTGGGAGGATTTCAAATAGTGTTCCCCAAAGCACCAGGATTCTGCGGAACTTCATCTCTTGGCTCTAGTTGCATTGCCTCTTCGTTTAGTAAGGCTCTAAGAATATTCATTCAGAAGCCAGTTGACTCCTCTTCATCGATCCCCAAATTGCACATGTAGAGTCATCACTTTCTATGTGTTCCTATGTCAATCAAGGTCAGCTCCTGAAAGTAAACAATATTGCTTTCCTATGACACAGAAACCTCGTATCATCATTTGATGACTGCTTGGTTCATGAGTAAGTTGCAAAAAGATGTTATGTTATAGCCTTCATCCCAAATCCTCCACGCAGTTATCTTTATTTTTAAAATAAAGTTTTAGTTTCTCTCAGGTGGCTTTCCCTACACATGGTTGGCTCCAACCCAGAGGAAATTTAATTTACCGTTGTTTATATTCAAAATATTGTTTGTGTGTGTGTCATTAAGCCTCCTCGCTTGGCTAGGATCTTACAACTACTCTCTTTAATGTGAAGATTCAACAACTTAAAGAAAAGGGAACACTGGAGCAGAGAAAAGGGGGAGAATGAACTAGTTTTCACGTAGACCAGTGATTCTCAACCTTTCTAATGCCTTGACCCTTTAATACGGTTCCTCATGCTGTGGTGACTCCCAATCATAAAATCATTTTTGTCACTACTTAATAACTGTAATTTTGCTACTGTTAATGAATCGTAGTGTAAATATTTGTGTTTCCCGATGGTCTTAGGCTCTATAGCAGCGGTTCTCATTCTGTGGGTCAAGACCCACAGGTTGAGAACCGCTAGCAGGGTCGCCTAAGACCATCGGGAAACACAGATATTTACATTACGATTCAACATGAGCAACTGTATTAAAGGGTCACGGCATTAGAAATGTTGAGAACCACTGACGTAGACAGTCCCTCCAGCCACAGGCTCAGCAAGATCAGTGTCTCCTCCCAGGGTGGGGCGAGCGGCTGAGCTGAGTTCATCTACAGGAAATCGCCGAAGGTCAAGGGCACAGTGTTGTCCTGTGCATTCAAACTAGTCCTTACCGAGCACATCTGCCCGGAGGTGTGAGTGAGGGCGGCCCAAACAACATTGAAATTTAGAAAAGCGTGACTCGCCGTCAGCTCTAAAAGAGACTTCCGTAAGGACGTCTTCCTGAAAGAGTGGTGGCCAGTTTCACCAACGATGGTGACAGGTCCGCACGGTCCTCCTGTTGGTAAATGGCCCAGAACCTGCCCTTGGGCTGCCGGCTCTCCACGCGGTTCTCTGTGAGTGTCTTTTTCTGCTCCAAGGAGTTGAACTTAGCGAACACCAGCGGGAGTCAGCAGGGGGCAAATGGAGAGATTACTGCTCGCTGGGGTGCTTATTCATAGGCCCCTCTTGAGCTGAGGGTCCTGCTGTGAACGTGGGTGGCTGTTCCCGCCATCTCCATCGCCTGGGCAGTTGGCACCTCGTGACAGCTCCCCTCCTGGCCCACAGGGCTGCAAACACAAAGCGAGCACCTGCTTGGGTGCTAGCGACCAAGGACACATGGTCCCCGTCCCCCGGGGCCATGACGGGTACGCAGACACCTTGGGGAACCTGGGGGGAGGGTGTGTCTCAGGGCAGCAGGCAGGAAGGGTATGTGCTTCACACCCAACCCAGAGGCCGCAATCACTGGAGTCTTAGTGCTGCCCTCAAGGTTCCCAGATGGCAATGGAGGTGCCCGGCGGGCACTGAGGACCTTCAAGTGGAAGCTCAAGGAGTGGCCGGGTGGCAGGCACAGCGTGGACATCGCCAGGAAGTGGGTGACAGTTTAACCCTGGATGGCATAACCCGGGACTATCCATAGGAGTCGTGGGTTCTGGTGTGCCGATGGGCCATCCACAGGTCCCCGACTTAAGGTCTTCTTAGATGAGCATGGTGGGCCAGGAATGACCTTTTAGCCAAGATATCTGTTTCAGGCCTTGGGGTCGTGTCATTCTGTTCATGTATTCTATTTTAGGTGCCTGTAGCCTGGTTATCCAGACACCGAACTCACTTGCTTCAGAATTTCTTGTTTTAGTAACGGGGTCTCCCTGGACTCCAGCATCTGGAAGCAATCTGGCGTCTAGAATAGCCTTTTACTATATATCTGTCAGCACCACATTTTTCAAGCGCTTCGTGTGAGCCCTGGGCTGAACTCTGTGTGTGTGTGTGTGTGTGTGTGTGTGTGTGTGTGGTCACTTACCCCTCAAGAGTGCAGTGAAGGAGGCACTCTGCTTCAAGGATGGGGAAACTGAGGCACAGGGAGGTTAAATAACTTCCCCCAAAGTTGGGTACTTTGTAAGCAAAGCTGGTAACTGAACACATCCACATAATTGTATCTGAGAGTGGGTGTGCACACGCTTATTTTTATCTTTCCTTTATGTTGTGTGTGTGTGTGTGTGTGTGTGTGTGTGTGTGTGCCTATATGGCTTCATTTCTTTTTGACAAGTATAATTTCCTGGGGCTGTCAAAACAAAGTTCCCAGACTGGATGGTTTCAACAACTGAACTTTATTACCTCACAGTCTGGAGGCCGGAAGTTCAAGATCAAGGCAGGGCTGGTTTCCTTTGTGGCCATAAGGGAGAAAGTATTCTACACTCTCCCCCAGCTTCTTTGGTGACCCCGGCTCAAGACCCATCACCCATCTCTGCCTTCATCTTCACATGGTGTTTTCTCCCGGTGGGTTTTGTGTCCAAATTTCCCATTTTCAAGTGTCATTGGGTTGGAGGCCCATGCTGATATCTTGTTTTAGCTTAGCTGCCTCTGTAAAGACCCCATGTCCAAATAGGATCACATTCTGGAGCATTGGGGGCTTGGTCTTCAACATCTGGACTTCAGAGGACACAATTCAGTCTGTAACAAGGGTGACAAGCTTTGGACATCGCCAGGAAGTGGGTGGCAGTACACATCCACATAATTGTATCTAAGTGTGTGTGTGTGCACGCTTATTTTTATCTTTCCTTCAGGGTGTGTGTGTGTGTGTGTGTGTGTGTGTGTGTGTTTAGAAGTAACAGAAAGCATTGTGTTTGTGTGTGTGTATATGTGTGTGTGTGTGTGTGTTTGTAAGTAACAGAAAGCAGTGTGACTTTTCCCCTTTTCTCTTAAGAGGTGGGGATGCCTCTGACGCAGTCCAGTGTCTATAACCTTTGTTATCTCAGTACGACGTTGACATGTTGAAAACATCTGGGCCAGGTCTTCCCCGTCCAGCCTGTGCAGTTAGCTGCAGGCGTGTGGGAACCCTACGTCAGCTACAGCTGTCCACCAGCGATGCCACAGCCGTTATGTTCCCCTGCAGGCATCCTTCCCGGCAAACCTCCAGCTCGTCCTTGTTCTGCGACCAACAGGATTTTTCCAAAGGACTCTCTCTGACCTCGCTTTCAAATTCAACAGAGATGACTTTAAGATGAAGGTTCCGGTAAGCAAGCCCAGCTTTAGCTCCGTAGGCAGAACTAAACATAATTGCATTTTTGGCCCATGTGTGATAATCGAAATTCTCAAGGCGCTAACCTTAGTGCTGTGAGCATAAATAAAGTCCCAAACGACTCACTTGGAAATTGTACTTCCTCTTATGCAACCAGGAGCAGTATGATCCTTCATTTCCACCTGCCACTCTGCACCTCTGGGGTGACTGTGCAAAGCATGGCCCTGGATGGGCCACCTTCAAAGGACAGGCATTTCGTCAGAGTCATGAGTCTAGAACATTCTTATAGCAAGTCAAGCTGAAGAACAAGGGACCCAGGAGATAAGAGGGGGCCCGGGGAAGTGGATGCAAGCATCCCTCATGCCTGCAGAGGGTGAGGGTTGTAGGCCTTGGCCCTGCAGGCCAATCCCTACCTCATCTCCTCACTCCAGCTCACAGCAACCAAATTAGTGAGTTGCCAAAAACGGGTTTCACAAAATTTATCGCTGGCATCTCCCATTCACTGACCCATTTCAGACCATTCTTTATAATTACAGAAAGCATCATCTGTATGCTATTGTTAAATGCTATTGTTGAAAATGTGTCCATGTCACTGTTTCGGTGCTGTGAGCTAAACTCAGTGCCGAATAGAAAATGTTTAAACAAAAAACAGTGAGTCCCTGTGCTTTCTCTGTGTGGTTAGATAAATATGAAGCATATACAGGATGTTAATTGAGAGACAGAAATCATAAAGGAAGGTGGCTTAAATTCCTAGATTGCCCGAGCAACTAGACTTTGGTCATGCTGGTCATGAATCGGGGTTATTTAGCTGCATATAGTTTTATTAGAGGAACAGAGAGAAAATTGAGTCATCTCTGCTTTAAGTGGACATTTTAGCCTACTTTATAAAATCAAAATCATGCGCCCTAGCCAGTATGGCTCAGTGGATAGAGTGTCCACCTATAGACTGAAGGGTCCCAAGTTCGATTCTAGTCAAGGGCATATACCTCAGTTGCACGCTCGTCGCATGAGGGAGGCAATCAATTGATGAGTTTCTCTCACATCAATGTTTTCCTCTCTGTCTCCCCCCCTCCCTTCCACTCTGTCTAAAAATCAATGGGAAAAATATCCTTGAGTGAAGATTAAAATTTAAAAAAAAAGAAAAAAGATCATGCTTAAATCCAAAGACCTCAACATTGGCACTGGTGAGGTTTGGGCAGGACTGTTCTCTGTGGTGGGGCTGACCTGTGCATGATCGTATTACCGGTACCCTCCACCCACCAAAGGCCAGCACCATTCTCCCTACCCACAACGTTGTGACAATCAGGAACGTCTCCAGACTTTGTCAAGTGTCCCCTGAGGGACAAAATCGCCCGGGGGAGAACCGCTGCTCTAAACTAATACTAATTTAATAATACATGAGGTGGCTTCAAATAACATTTGGGCTAAACCGCTCCAGAACTATTTTGTAGTATCTGTGTGACAGCTTACAAAGCAAAGGCTATATTTTCATCCAGAAGTTGTGGGCAGAATGACCTCAGAAAGGACAAGAAAAAACACATTAAAACAATAAAACAAATATCCCGTGTGGAAGAGCTTGCTTGCTCACCACAACCGTGTGCTCCCTCTCACTCCCCCATTAAGGCAATCATGCAGGTATGGGGCACTGAACTGGGTTTGGACCTGCAATGACCTCACGGTATTTCAGCAGAAATGAAGACAAAAATATTTTCTTAGAGTCTGAGCACCGTCTGGTTACCATCCAGTTACCGTGCTGAGCTCACCTGCCCGGAGGGGTGTCAACACTTTCCATGTGCCTAATGTCCATCCCAAGCCCAGCTAGCTCAAGGGTTTTGTACCCTCCTGTGGCTGTCCTCTGATGGGATGAGTCCTGCTGTACCCATTTCATGGATGAGGAAGCTGAGACACAGGGGAAATGAGCGACTAGCCTCAAGTGAATCAGCCAGTGAGGGGTAGAGCTGGGATTGAAACCCAGGCCCAAAGCCAGTGATTTTGGTCAACACGGCCACGTGCAAGGAAACATTCCCTGACTCTGTCTGCTGGGCGTTCTGTGTCTGGAGGCGGTTTCCTCTCTCCCCTAGGTCATAATGCTGAGCTCAGTACCAGAATTACACGGTTACATCGACAAGTCCCAGTTGACCGAGGACCTGGGCGGGACCCTGGATTACTGCCACACCAGGTGGTTGTGTCACCGCACGGTGAGTCTCCCCGGCACTCCCTCTCCGTGGATGCAGGCTTCGGGGCTGTGGCTCGCAATAATCCCCGGTGAAACGCTTTAGAATTGCTTTTGCATGTCGAGGCTGCCTTTTCCAAAGACACGTTCATGTGAAAAACCCAAGTTTTCTCCCCAAGAATGAGGAGATGGTCTCAGTGGACCTTAGTCATCCAAAGAAATAACATGAGTAATAAGTTCGGGAGTGGCTTTCTCTGGGCTCAGAGACTGAAAAGAAAAGAGAGAAAAACCCCAGATTGTTGTCTATCGCGGCGGCACTCACGTCTCTCTCGACAAGGAGAGAGACCCCGAGCCTAGAATGACTCTCGCCGAGGAAAGCCTCTGTAAAGAGTGTCTGGTATGTGTCTGAAGAGGCCGCGAGGCTGAGAAAACCAGCGGGAAGGTGTTTGCTCTACGCAGACCAGGCTTGCTGGGGGGCCCCCGTCCCCTCTGAAGATGTCCCGGCCGGTCCTTGGGGGGCGCTCTGCAGGCAGCAGGCGGGTGCGCTGTGTGATGCTGTTCTCCCTCTTCCCAAGGCCATCGAAAGTTTCGCCCTCATGGTTAAGCAGACGGCCCAGATGCTGCAATCCTTCGGGACCGAGCTGGCCGAAACGGAGCTGCCCAACGACGTCCAGTCGACGAGCTCAGTGCTCTGTGCACACACGGAGAAGAAAGACAAGGCGAAGGTTTGTGTGGTTTCTGAGGGGGAAGCGGGGAGGAAGGGGCTCTCTGTCCGCGTGTGAGATAGTGGAGTAGAAAGAGCCGAAGTCAGCATGAGGTAAGACAGAACCTAAGGGTTATCTGAGATGCCTTTTGATGCTCATGAGCTGGGTAGTCGCTGTGAGGAGGACTGAAATGTGCTCCTTTTTGAAAGCAGCGGACACCAGTGCTGTCAGTGCAGACACCTGGTGGCTGGCCAGGGAGCTCTGACTGAGGCAAGGCATGGGAGGTGGCCTCGCTCTGACCCAGCGCCTCCTGGGCCCTCCATCGAGGTGTTTCTGTTGCTTTTTAGTAAACCAAGGCAGAAATCCTGGCCTTGGGGCCCCCTAGCCGGCAGGCAGAGAAGCGGTGGGCTGACCCGAAGAGGCTGAACTCCATAAAGTAGCCACTGTACTCACATACTTGCAGATAGTTCCTGGATAAATGCTCTGAGGGAGAGGGGCTCCCTGAGTCTGTCGCACCCGTGCCTGCTTCGACCTGCACCTCGCAGGCTGTGTGTCAGCGGTGACCATGACCCGCTGGTGCTGCCCTCAGGGGTGTCCCCACCCACGCCAAGAGAACCCCTCGCTCCCTTTCTCTCCTGGCAGCGGGGATGGCTGCAGAAGCAGGCACCTAGAGGTCTGGTGTCCTATTACTCCCCTACTTTATCCTGCTGCCCCTGTATGACCCGTAACCCTAGCTCTGCCCTGGTTGCAGCAGGAGGAGTCTCCCCGACACCTGCCTGCTTCCCCTGCGAGCAAGAGGGCAGTCAGCGCAGAGGGTGGGAAGACTTCTCGCTGTGGCCGGTGCCGTGCCCACCGTGCCCACTCCCCCGTGGGGACGATGCCCCGCAAAGCCCACCGCTCTCTCCCACCCGGTCACAGTCCCAGGGAGTGGGTGGGCCTGGGGTGCGAGGTGCCGTGCTCTTCCCGCAGGAGGACATGAGGCTGGCGCTGGATGAGGGGCAGAGCATCCTGGACAGCATCCGGGAGCCTCTGGCCAAGAGCCCGGAGCAGAGCCTGAACCAGGACCAGCTGGACAACCAGACCACCGTGCAGAGGTGAGGCCTCGGGCTGCAGGGCCTTTCGGGCGCATGGCCTCTGTGAGGACGAGAGGCTGTGGGCTGAGGCCAGAGGGACAGACAGACAGACAGGAGCAGGGGCCCCACCCACGCTGCCTTGTCGCCTCTCTGAGCCCAGTTTCCTCGTCCCAAGGGGGAGCAAGGACACCTTAGAGTTCTTCCCGCTGAAATGCCTTTCTTCCGAACCCCAAAGCTCTTCTGGGGAGGAGATGTCTGAGCACAGTTGCCCCCTTTCCTAAGAGTGAAGGGCCGTGTAAGGGATAGCCATGGTGACAGGAGCCGTCAGGCTTGGCGATCTGCACTTGCTTTCCTGTCCTGTTTCGCACCTGAGGCTCTGTTTGTTCCCAGGAAGGGAAGTAGCCTCAGGCCTCTCAGCTCCAGCCCCCGCTCTAGAAGCATCTCCTCCTCCACGGAAAAAGGGGTGATTTCTCCTTGCCCCCCTTGGTTTCCAGCTGCATGACAAAACACGGGGTAGAGAGTCCGCACAGCTCTCTGCAAGTAGCTGCTCTGCCCTGTTCGCACACCATTCCCTCCTCCCATTCTGTGCTCTTCGCCCCGAAAGCCAGGCCAGCAACGAGGCCCCATCTCCTTGTTTGGGGGACAGGTGCAGAGCAGCTGGACAAACCCAGGCCTGGGCCCTGGCTGATGTTTCCAGCTCTTAACCTGAGTTCCCTCCTCATCGCCGAAGTGCACACGCCGAGCAGGTGTTCGGTGCCCGGGACACAGAGCAGGCCCTGGGACACAAGGGAGGCCTGTGTAGATGCCCTCAGGGTCACCAGCAGAGGAGGCTGGAGCACCCTGCTAATCCCCCCAGACTCAGTTTCCTCATCTATGCAATGGAGCCAGCCTAAGCACGCCTGACGGGGTGGGTATGGGAGCAAATTAGCTCGCACTTGCCCAGCAGAGTCTGGAGCACAGGGGCTCTCAGCTTTGGGACTGACGACAGTACACAGTGGCAGCAGTTCTTCGCCCACACCTGCATTGTGGCAGCTTACTGTTTTCTTTTTTTTTCTTTTTATATTTTAATGTATTTTATTGATTTTTTTACGGAGAGGAAGAGAGAGGGATAGAGAGTGAGAAACATCCATCAGCTGCCTCCCGCATACCCGCTACTGGGGATGTGCCCACAACCAAGGTTCACGCCCTTGACCGGAATCGAACCTGGAACCTTTCAGTCCGCAGGCCGATGCTCTATCCACTGAGCCAAACCGGTTTCGGCAGCTTACTGTTTTCTTAACCCCTGAATCAAAGTAATAAAGAATGACCCCAAACCTTCACCATCTCGACCTTGTCAAAAATCAACACAAACGCAACCCAGCCAGCTGCCCTCCCTCTCAAGTCAGTGAGCCCTAAAGAAGCCCCTACCTTCCAAACCTGTGCTTCAGTGCCCAGGCTAAGAGGAGGCGAGGGTGTTAAGAAGGCCGCTTGAGGCTGAGCCATCCCCTCACCCCTGCTTCACATTGCAGGGGGCAATTCTCCCTTCCCCCACGGTTACTCCCAACACAGCACACGTGCCTTCCTCGTTCTAGGCTCCTGGCCCAGCTGAATGAAACCGAGGCGGCCTTTGATGAGTTTTGGGCGAAGCATCAGCAAAAACTCGAGCAGTGTCTGCAGCTCCGGCATTTTGAGCAGGATTTCCGAGAGGTGAGTGGCCCGGAGCCTGGAGAGGACCTGTGGGTGGGCCCCTGGTGTTCTGGCTGCAGGAAGCCAGGAAGTGGCCTGGACCACCTGGATGCTCAGAGCCGAGTACCCAATGGACTGTGGTTCAATGTGGAATAGAGAATAGTCTCTGTTATCCACATGGAGCCATAAGATCCAGTTGGAGTAAACCTTGAGGTATGGGATGGATGAGTAAATCATTACATGCAAAGGTTGTGCAAAATATGTTCATTGGCGTCTACTTCCACATTATGTGTTCATTAGCCAAGCAAATTTCATTCTCCCTTTATGGTCATGTGTATGTTCTTTTCTCCAACATGTACCCACTGTGTGCCTGGCAGGGGCCTTGGGCATACACCGTGGATTCAGCGTGACAGGGTTATCATAGAAGAGATGAGCCATCATTGTATTCGATTGTTAGCGATGGCCAACTCGTCGGAAGCCTGTTAATCATTTATTTGTGAAGAATACATATACGCTTCCCTGTGGTCTGGTCCTGAAGCAACGAAGGAATATAAAACAGTACAGCCATCAGCAACAGTGTAGGCCCAGGGCAGCATCTTTCCTGTCCTCAGGAAACCTCCAGCCTAGGAGGGATCATAAATACACAGGAAATAGGTAGCCACATCAAGTCCGGTGACCAAGCTGCTGTGAGGCCATGTCAACATGCAGATGGGGAGGACCGGCGACGGTTCTGTGGGGACCATCCTCCCACTTTAGTCCTCCCCAAAGAGTCATGAGCGTCACATTCTAGAAGAGGTGGAACCTAGTCCAGCAGTCTTCCCTGAGCACTGTTCAGGTGGATAGTGCTCGAACTCAGGACAGCAAGGTGAGGCAGTGTCACTGACTCAGACCAGAGAAGTCACGCCGGCCAGTGGGAACAGCACCCCTAGAGAAGATCATTCCTTCCTTGTTTCTGTGGGGACTGAGAAAGGCTCTCAGACAACCAAACGTTTTATTTGAAGACGGAGGTCCAGTGCATGAATTTTGATTTTTTTACAAGGTCGAGATGGTTTTTTAAGAAAATGCCAAATTGTTCCCAGGTGGCTGTTCCATTTTGGTTGTCTGAGAGCCTCCCTCAGTCTCTCCACATCCTCACCAGCGTTTTGGGTGATATTATTTTTAATTGTCTGTACCTATTTTGATAGCTGTGTAGTGATATCTCAATGTGGTTCTAGTTTGCAGTTGCCTAATGGCTGATGACCTTGACCATCTTCCCATGTCCTTATGTCATCAGTATATCCTCTTCGGTGAAATGTCTCTATTTCTGTTCCCCATTTTGTGTTTACTGTTGTGTTTTGAGCGATCTGTACCTGCTTTAGATATTAGTCCTTTGTCAGACATGCAGTATGAAATTATTTTCTTCCAGCTCATCACTTATTTTTGTATCCTCTTAGCAGGATTTTTCACAGAGCAAAATTTTTTATTTTGATGAAGTCCAATTTATCAATTTTTCCTGTGAAGGACTGTACTTTTGGTATCAACCTAAATCCTACATCCCAAATATATTCCCCTAAACTATTTTTCCTAAAAGATTATAATCTTACATGTAGGTCCACAATCCTTTTCAAGTTACTTTTTGTATGAGGTATGAGAATTAGGTCAAGGTTCATTTTTAAATCTCTGGTTGTCCAGTTGCTCCCATAACATTGTTGAAAAGGTTGTCTTTTCTCCATTGGATTGTTTTTCCACTTTTGTCAAAAAGTAGTTGGGCATATTTGCTTGGGTCTATTTCTGGGTCTATATTCTGCCCCTCTGTCAGTGCATAGTCTTGATTACTGTACTATTGTAATAAAGTTAGAAATCGAGGTGGGTGAATCTGCCCGTTTTATTCTTCTTTTTCAAAAGTGTTTAGCTATTTTAGTTCCTTTGCTTTTCCGTGTAAATTCAAAATAATCTTGTCTTTATCTATAAAATTGTCCTAGGGTTCTGATAGGAATTGTGTTAAACTTCCATTTGAGGGAGAATCAACATCTTAAACATGTTGAGTATTTCGCTCAAGGACATAATATGCCTCACCATTTTTTTTAGATTTTCTTAGATTTATTTTTTTTTAATCAGTGTTGTGTACCTTTCAGCATGCCTGGCAGTACATGTTTTGTTTGATTTATAGTTACATCATTTATTTTTTAAAGCCATTTCAAATGTATTGTATTTTTAGTTGTCGAGTCTGTGTGTTCATTAATATATAGAGAAATACAATTGATTTGTGTATGTTTATCTTGTCTTCTGAAACTTTGCTGAACACACTCACTCTAGGCGCTGTTTTGTCCTCGCTGGGATTTTTACATAGGTGATCAGGTCACGTGCAAACAGGGACAGCTGGAGCTCTTCCTTTCCCATCTGTATGCCTTTTGTTTGTTTGTTTATATTTTTAATTTTTCTTGCTTTATACTGCCTAGAGCTGCCACCACTTCAAACAGCTGTGAGAATGGACCTCTTTGTCTTATTCCCAATCTTAGGGGGAAAGCATTGCTTTCACCAGCATTATGGATATAATGTAGAATTTTTTTAAAAATATATATTTTATTGGTTTTTCACAGAGAGGAAGGGAGAGGGATAGTGAGTTAGAAACATCGATGAGAGAGAAACATCAATCAGCTACCTCTTGCACACCCCCTACTGGGGATGTGCCCGCAACCAAGGTACATGCCCTTGACCGGAATCAACCTGGGACCTTTCAGTCCACAGGCCGACGCTCTATCTACTGAGCCAAACCAGTTTCAACTGCCTGTAGAATTTTTGTAGATGCTTTTTATGAAATTGAGGAAGGTCCCCTCTAGTTCTCTTTTCCTTGGGGGTGCTCTTGGTTTTCCCTCCTCCCTTCATCCCCGGTTTCGGTCACATCTCCATGTCCTTTCCCTTCAGTCGTGGTTGTTCTGACTTGGGCCTGGGTCTCTCGCCTCTTCTCTGTTTCAGGTCAAGGCCGCCTTAGACGTGTTGGCTCAGAAGATAGCGACCTTCACGGACGTGGGCAACAGCCTGGCGCATGTGGAGCACCTCCTGAAGGACCTTACCAGCTTCGAGGAGAAGTCCAGCGTAAGCACTGGGATGTGGGTCTGGGGCAGGCTGGAGCCTCTTAGAAAGGTACAGGAAATGGAGATGCCGGCAGGTGGAGGGACAGCCGCCTGGCCCACCCATCCCCAACCCCCAACCCCACATTCTACCCCCACCCCACCCTCACCCTTACCCCCTCAGATCCCTGGGAGGAAAGAGCGCCCTGCTGCTTATACTGGACGTAAGCTGAGCTATGTTTCTGGGACGGTTCTCTGCAGGCGGCTGTGGAGCGGGCCCGGGCCCTGTCCCTGGACGGGGAGCAGCTCATCGACAACAAGCACTACGCCGTGGACTCCATCCGCCCCAAGTGCCACGAGCTCCAGCACCTCTGCGACCAGCTTGCTGCCGAGGTCGCCCAGAGGAAGGGTCTCCTCCACAAGTCCCTGGAGCTGCACGGCCTCCTGGAGGCGGTAGGACCCCAACCCCACACCCCTGACGGCGAATCCGCAACCGGTCCCACGTGGGCAGCTCCCTCCACGTAGGATGCACCACAGTCTTGATTAGAAGCTGGCCCACGCCCTCCTCTCTGGATGCTTTTCTAGGGGTCGTATCCTGACACAGTTGTCTGTTTTCTAGAATTCACTTGCAACAACTAATGATTTCTTTAAAAGGCCCAGAAACTTACCGTCTAGCTAACTCACTGCACTTTGCCTCCCTCTCTCTCTCTGGGTGTGTGCGGGTAAATGAGTCTGGTCCCAGGTGATTTGCTCAACTTTTTAGAATGCTGCAATCCCTATAGGGAGTCCTTTGGACTATAGCAGCAGAGCTGGGATGGTATAGTCTGCAAACATTCCCCAAAATATAGTGGTCAGTGGACAGCGAACAGGCCCCGGCAAAGAGAGCCCAGACACAGCTGCTAACAATGCCACTCTCTCCCTCTGCCACGCTTCCCGTGTCCAGTCCATGAAATGGTGCGATGAGGGGATCTACTTGCTGGCCTCGCAGCCTGTGGACAAGTGCCAATCCCAGGATGGTGCGGAGGCAGCCCTCCAGGAAATTGAGAAGTTCTTGGAGACCGGTGCAGAAAATAAGATCCAGGAGCTCAATAAAATTTACCAGGACTACGAACCCATCCTCACCCAAGACCTGATGGTATGCCGGTTCAGGCTTTTCTCCTGCAGCTCCCCTGTCCTGAATGGTGGGGAGTTACTCTATGTTCGAAAGACTCGTTCAATGAATTAGTAGAGACTGTAGGCATTTGAGAGAGATATTGAGTTGGGGTGGGGAGGGGCCACCTGGCTGAACTTTCCTTCTGCAGAAATTATCACACACCTCCCTCAAAAGGTGGTGATCCTTCCTCCTATGGCATCTCCCCTTCCAAGGGGCGTGTTCTTGATGAAGGAGCCGTTTCCCTGGGCCCTGCTTCCTGCATGCTCCTCTCAATATTGCACTGAAATAGGACTCCTCTTCTCTCTCCGCCAGCTGTACTCAGCCCACCCCTGGGGCAACCCACAAGTCTACTGCCCTCCCATAGGCAGCCTGCAGATGCCCAGAGTGGGCTGCTGGTCCCTCACTCCACAGTGGGGCCCACAGCCAGCAGAGCCAGGGCGGGGTTGCTGCCTTGGCAATGGGCTCTGCGTCACGAGCATTTTGACCGGAGGTCGTGTTGAAGCCAAGTCTACACACGGTTGTTCTGCTTGTAAGTTGCAGACGCCGACGCTTACAAAGCATCTCGCTAACTAGCCTGCCTTACCCTGTCACGCCAGGAACACGTGCAGAAGGTCTTCCAGAAGCAGGAGAGCATGGAGGAGATGTTCCACCGGAGGCAGGCGAGCCTGAAGAAGCTGGCAGCCAAGCAGACGAGGCCCGTGCAGCCCGTGGCCCCCCGGCCAGAGGCGCTCACCAAGTCGCCCTGCCCCTCCCCAGGTACATGCCAGCGTGCTTCACTCCTTCTGGGAATGCTTTGCTCCCGTTCCATGGTTTACTTTATAAATAAAGTTTTATTGGCACTTGGCCCACTTCTTTGTCTACTCTCTGTGCTGCTTCCTTGCTAAGCACGGCAGAGCTGCCGGGTTGTGGTAAAGAGGATGAGGCCCTGAGAACTGGACTATCAACCGTCACAAGACTTTCCTGGGCCTATTTCCCCAAACTCCAGCCTCTCCCCAATTCCCCTGTCCTCAGTGCTGTTAATAAAATAACTCCCCCCCCCCGACACACACACACACACACACACACACACCCCCCCCCCCGCACACGGCTCCACCTCAGCCCCAAAGCCTCCCTGTGCTGTGTCGATGCCGCAGCCTCGTCAGCCACCCCGGCACCCACAGCAGTGCCATGTCCTGAGGACGCCTTCTCACCCCTTCCTTACCCCCAAACACGCTCTTCCCCAGCACCGGGGAGTTCCTGCTGGCTTCTTCAGGGTTTGGAAAGTGTCCTAAGCTGGTGAGAGCCCTGGAGAGCTGGCTCCGGCCCCCAGTATGTGGGCTCTGGAGGACACCATTCTCTGGCCCGTTTGGAGGCCTCCTGGACAGAAGTATCCTGGCCGAGAAGTTCTTCCGTTGTCACCTGGTCCCCTGTTGGCTGGGAGCCCCTCTAGGGAGGTGAACTAACCAGTGGGCCGACCCCTGTGGGCCAACCCCCGAGTCCCCGCCCCCACCTTGTCTCCTGATCCCTTTTCCTCTCCTCTGTTCTACCGTGCTTTCCTCACCCTTCTCTCGACTGCTTGCTTTTTTCCTCTGAAAGTAAAAAAAAAAAAAAAAAAAATCCAGACACCCACCTTTCTCCTCTTCTTCCCTAACCAGGTGTCCGGAGAGGTTCTGAGAACAACAGCTCTGAGGGCAACACGCTCCGGAGAGGGCCCTACAGGAGGGCCAAGGTGAGGCTCCCAGCCCTGGCACAGACCCTGCACTGCCTCCTGGTCACCCTCCCTCCTGGCAGGCACCAGCCCGGTCCTCCCTGGCCCTCTCCCACCCGCCTCTCCTCGTCTGGCGGGATCTCAGGTTTCAGATCTGTTCCCAGATGGGAAATGAGCCTGGACTCCGGAGCCTCGGAGTCAGGACAGTAAGCGGCATCTTCTTGTGTTTGGAATCTCGACGCCCTGCGTGCTCTTCTCTCTCCAGAGTGAAATGAGCGAGAGCCGGCAGGGCCGGAGCAGCTCCACGGGGGACGAGGAGGAAAGCCTGGCCATCTTGCGGAGGTGGGTGGGCTGCCTTTCCGGGCAGCACTGAGCGGCTCTGGGGCAGACGCGACAAGCCCGACCCACCCAGGTCTCAGCCTTTGGCTAGGACAGTCTGAACCCAAATGAACCAAAGTTGGTGAGAAATGCCAGCCTCTGCCCCAAGCCACAAGTGGGAGCCCAGCTGGCCTCACGGAGTCCACACACATGCATGCGCGTCCCTGTGGCATGTCTGCGTCTGAAACTAAGAGAAAAGTAGGTTTTCCTTAGAATCGCCACCCTGGGCCCTGGGCCCCCAGGCGGGCCTGGGACGATTTGAATGGGTTGTGCTCTCCCTTCTTCAAGTCCAGGGGAGAAGACACGTGTGATTCAGGCACCCAGGCCCTGGGTCCCCTGTGCAAGGTCAGCCACATAGCTGCCCCTGGAGCCTGCCTCCTGTCTGTCCCTCGATGGACGTGGTCCCTCCCCGGAGCCTTTGGCCCTCCTGGCTCCCTGAGCTGCTGTCACTTCTCTTTCTTCGTCTCTCCCCTCCTGCTTTGCTCACACGCTTTTCGGCCTGGCTCGTTATGCCACACACCTAGGCTGTTTTCCGTGGCACCTGCTGTGGCCGCCTGCACATTCCACTCGGGGATTGCATCTGTCCCCGCACAGAGCTCTGACGAGGTCCGAACTCTGGACCTGACAGGGAAGGCACTTCCAAAATCCTTTCAGGACTGGCAGTCACTTTCCCCAAGGAACCCTACCCTCTGGCCTAGCTGGGCCACTCACCTTTCCACAAAGGTACCTTCATGCCACCTTCCTGCGTCCACCCACTCTGAGATCACTACTCAGAATGCTGTCCCCTTCCTCCCCAACCTGCTGCCTGGCCTTCTGCATCCCGCTCAGTTCTCTGCCAAGGACATCCTCGCCGCCTGCCCACACTGCTGTGTGCCCCCCGCAGGAGCGCACCCCTCCAGCTTGTGGTGGTGAGAAGGAGGCCTGAGGCCCCTGTCTACCCCTCCCCCACTTCACCCCATTCAGGGGCACCGATTCCTTGAACTGAACCCTAAAGCCTTGTTAAGCACTGACAGTTGTTTTAGAACTGGTCATGCTCAATGGTCCCCAACCCAGAAGCACCCCGAATGGGATGCTTGGTCGTAAGCGGTTAGAAGGTGGGCTTTGTCCCTAAGAAGACACCTGGGCAGCTGGTTTGCAAACCCCTGCCCCTCCTGGGGCTCTATAACATGACAGGCACATAGTTCCACACATCATCGCGGTACCTCACCATGTGCAAGAGGATAGGGATGTACATGGGACTGGCCACAGTGATGCCTTGAGTTGGTGCTCAGCTGACCGCCAGGCTAGGAGAGAGGAGTGTGTGCACAAGGAGGGGCTCTTGCAGGGGAGAATGAGGGCAGCTGGAGAGAGAATCAAGGCCAAATCTGCAGGGCTGGGGCGGCTCAGAGGCTTGGCCTGGAAGAGAAGGAGGCTGGAGGCATCGGAGCCCGTCTTGTGCAGGTGGCCCCACAGCAGGGAGGCGGGTGGGAATCTGCTCCCCGATAATAAGTCCCAGCGCCCCGTTCACAGGCACGTGATGAACGAACTGCTTGACACGGAGCGGGTCTACGTGGAGGAGCTGCTCTGTGTCCTGGAGGTGAGCCTGCCCCTGGGGGTGGCCGGGAGGGGGCCATGGGCCAGGCTTCCCCACCCTGTGGGGCCTCCTGTCCACCAAAAAGCAAGTGGAAGAAGGCTCGTGGCAGCTTCACTCACGGGAGCCCCAAAGTGAGAGCAACTCAGATCTCTGTCCGCGGGACGAGGGGCAAGCAGGTTTAGGTGGGTGTGCACAGGACAGTATTCACAGCCAGAAAAAGAGCTGCTGCTGCACAGACCCTCGCAGGACCCCAGGAGCCCAATGAGGAGCGGGAGAAATCCGACAAGAGTGGAGGCCATTCCTATGGACCAGTGGTCGGCAAACTCATTAGTCAACAGAGCCAAATATCAATGGTACAACGATTGAAATTTCTTTTGAGAGCCAAATTTTTAAACTTAAACTATATAGGTAGGTACATTGTTATTAAGTTAATTAGTGTCCTCCTAAGCTGGCCTTTGCTAAAAACTCAAGGGGCCAAAGAGCCGCATGTGGCTCGACAGCTGCAGTTTGCCGACCACTGCTGTAGAGGAATCCAGCCGAGCAGAGCCGGTCTCAGGGGGGCCGTCCCAGTGCAGGCTGCGGGCTGAGGCTGTTGCCTGGGAAGGGCAGGGGGGCTTCTGAGAGCTAGGATGTCTGCATCTTGATTTGAGCTGCGGTTACAGGAGTGTAGACATATAAATAATTTATCAAGCGTACACATAAGATATGTCCTCTTCATAGAAGTTATATCTGGATTTTTTAAATCTATTTTTATTGATTTCAGAGAGAGATAGAGAGATAGAAACATCAATGATGAGAGAGAACCATCAATCTCACCCCCTACTGGGGATTGAGCCAGCAACCCAGGCATACAGCCTGACTGGGAATCAAACCCGTGACCTCTTGGTTCCTGGTCAACACTCAAGTGCTGAGCCACACCTGGCTGGTCTATACCTGGATTTTGAAAAGACTAAAAGAGAGAAGGATGAAACCTCCCCTTCCTTGCCCCCCCAAATTGATGCTGTTTATCATTCACTTGTATTTTATAGTACTTTCCAGATGATCATCTTAGAAATGGTGAGTAAATAAACAAGAGGTGGATTTGCTTTCTAAAGCCTGACACAGCGTCACCAGACCCGCCAGGCAGTCCCTCAGAGACAGGGCTCCGTGCTGATTGGCTGCTGTTAAAATGGCCTGAAGTCCTTTTGTTTTGGGATTTCCCTACTGACCCTCCCCCCGTCCACAGGGCTACGCGGCCGAGATGGACAACCCGTTGATGACGCATCTCATCTCAGCAGGCCTTCAAAACAAGAAGGATGTTTTATTTGGGAACATGGAGGAAATATACCACTTTCACAACAGGTGGGACCCTTCCTCTGACCACCTGTCTGGCCTCTGACGTAGCCGCCTGCGGGGAGCTGAAAACCAAACGGCCCGGCCGTGCTTTGCTGGTGGAGAATGTCCCTTCCTCCCCTCTCGGCAGGGCCAATCTCACAGAGGGGCCTCAGACCAAGCAGCAGCCTGGGCGGACGTGCCCAGGGCTAGTTCTCTGAGCCGGGGCGGGCGGTTGCACTTGAAGTGAGAAGGTGCCTTGGCGCTTTGCCAGTATGACTGCCTGAGCAGCCGCCTCTCCTGCCTCTCCCTGTCCCTTGGGACCAGCAGAAGCCACCCCACCCCAAGTGTGTGCATGGGGCACATTGGGGCAGCACCGAAGGCCATCCCACTTAGCAAGGACAGTTTATTCCCAAGCCCGTTCTTGGAAAGGGTAGTAAGTTCCTCCCTGTGAGAGCCATTTGCGGCCTCTCAGAGCTTTGGGGAAAGCGTGAATGGTCCTCCTTCGCCTGGACGCCTGCTCCAGATTTGCAGGAGCTCTCGGGAAAGGAAGTGAGCGGGCAGCACAAGTGCGGAGAGAGACAGGCAGGTGATGGCGATGTCTGTGTGTCCTGAGAAAGGGGCAGCTGTGAGCCGACCACTCTCAGTGCTGGGACCCCACCTCCTACGGATTCCAGGGAGCACTGGGGACTTCTTTCTCACCACCTGCTTTGCCCCTCGATGGCTAGCATTTCTCACCTGCCCACTGAAAAAGGAGGCAGCAAGTCAGAGCTGAGCCCCACCCCGAGCCGTCCCTTGGGAATAAAACGGAGTGAGTGGCCCTGACCGTTGGCATCCCGGTGGCTCTGGCTGGCGTGGGGGCACCGGGACCCTGGCTGCAGGACTAGTGTAGTGAAGAGGTCCCAGGAGCTCCCCTTCCTGGGGGATTTACCCCCATAGGCAGGTGCAAGTTAAGGTGACCAGATGTCCCGCTTTTGGCGGGACGTCTGGTCTCCTTAGTGTAAGTCCGAAACATATGAAAACTCGGCACATGGCTCAGGAAACAAAGCTGCCTTGGGGAAGGTCTCGGGGAGCTGACAGAGACCCCCTTCCATCTGCAGAAACCCGACAAAGCTCCCGGCCCATGAGGGCTGCGCTTCCAGAACCTCCAGATGCTCTGTCTGCCTCCCTGCTCACAGCCTCTTCGCCCCATGTCTGTGATGATAAAATAAGCCTCCTAACCTCTGTGTGAGCGGAAGTACCCAAAGTCACAGGGATTCATGGGGGCGGTGTCTGCTTAAATCCGAAAGTCTGATATCCTAAGAACGGAGAGTGATAGGAGTGGGCTGTTGGTCCCTGAAACCAGACTGTTTTCTTCCACACAGAACCTCCCAGACTGCCCAGAGTTAGGAAGGAAAGTCATTTGGAAAAAGACAGCTATTCATTTGTTACAGATGCCATCCTGTTCAGGTTGTTGATCGTACGACCTAATGCAAACTTTCTTTTGTCTAGAATATTCCTGAGGGAGCTAGAAAACTACATAGACTGTCCAGAGCTGGTTGGAAGGTGTTTTCTAGAAAGGGTATGTGTGTTTGTTTTTTTTAAATGCATACTTTCCCGTGCCTTACTTCCTAAAATTACTAATGCTTAAAAGAATAACTTAAAATTCTATTACAGTCCCCAACGGAAATCACAGAGTATCCAAGTGTCCAGTTGGGCTGAGACGATGTGCCCTTTCTGGGCAGGGCTGAAAGAATGTGGGGTTTTCCCTAAAGCCCATGAGCTAGTTTGAACAAGAGAAAAACTATAAAACACCAGCTTTGAGAGATGCCCAAATGGTCAAGCATCTCCGTTCTGATGGTGCTAGATGGACCTGAGCCCTCCTCATGCTGGCGTTTGCTGTGTTCGCTCTGGTCCTGGTCCTGGTTAAGACTCCCTCGCTGACCAGCTGACATTGAACAAGCCCTCCGCGTTTTCTGAGCCTTGTTTTTCTTCTCTTTGAAGTAGTCGATGTCTGCCACCTTCCAGGGCGGGAAGATCAGCTAAAGTGTGCGTCAGGGGTATCACCTGTGGAGGGAAAGGGGGTTGAGCAGAAGCTTTGGGAGCAGGAAAGGATGCCTGATAGAGGGGTTGGCTGCCTTCTCCACAAAGTCCCACGTGACCCTCTTCTGTTGACTGCTGGCTTAGCAATAGGGAAATGCAGCTTACCAGCAACAGTGAAACGAAGCCACTTCCACAAAATGAGCTGGAGGCTGAGGCTGCCACAACGAATGGATGGAAGAGGCAGTTGGAAGGGAAAGGAGGAGCAATACTGACTCAGCCTGGCTGTAATGCTTCTCGGTGCTATTTGAGAAGTGGGGCGGGGCCATCATGCTGTAGGTCAGTGGTTCTCAAAGCGGGTCACCTGGCGGCAGCATCACACTCTCCTGGGACCTTGTTATAAATGGGGGTCCTCAGTCCCACCCCAGAACCTCGGTGGGGGCAGTGGTCTGTTTTCACAAGCCTGCCCCCGATACTGATGTGCATGCAAGTTTGAGCACCACTTTAGAAAGTCAGTGTTAGTCCTGTGTTTATTCTTAGACTGTTACTCCTACGGCAAAAGCCATTTAATTATCTTGATTGAACCTGTATAAAAGGGGTTTTGGGACTAATGCAGCCCTGAGCCGGGAACTTCTAGTGGGGCTGTTACCTGACTGTCCCTCCATGAGGGACGTGGCGTCTGAGATGGAGGGGCGAAGTGGGATCCGGGAAGAGGCCAGACTGGCGCCTCTGAGCTGCGCTGACACTGTCTATCCTGGGCCCAGATGGAGGAGTTCCAGATCTACGAGAAGTACTGTCAGAACAAGCCCCGCTCCGAGAGCCTGTGGAGGCAGTGCTCCGACTGCCCGTTCTTCCAGGTACGTTTCAGGGCACTCCCCTTTGCTAGCTGACTCTCAAGCAAAGAATCGTGCAAGCTGTCTAAAGCCCAGGTGTGGTGGTTGTAGGAATGCCAGAAGAAGCTGGACCACAAGCTGAGCCTGGACTCCTACCTGCTGAAGCCGGTCCAGAGGATCACCAAATACCAGCTGCTCCTCAAGGTGAGACAGTGAGCCCCACGCCTGGCTGGGCACCCCCTGAAATCCCCCTCCCAGCATGGCCACCTCACTGCCCCTTTCCCCTCCCAGCCACGCACCAGGCAGCTGCGGCTGCCTCTCCATCTCTGAACACTGTGGTCTCTGAGCCACCTTCCTCCCATCTCTGCAGGGGCCTGGCTCTTCACAGACCTTTGTGAAGGGCCTACTGTGCGCTGGCCATTGTTAGGGCGAGGGCAGGGACAGCAAGGTGGACAGATGGGCAAACCCCACCACACAGAGTCTCCACACTGACACTGGGCTGTGCCCCCATAGCTCAGTCAGTTATCTCTGTGGGCCCAGAGGTGGCACCGCAGGCCAGAGGGAACCAATGAGTGAGCGTGAAGAGCATGCGCCTAACAATGAGATGTTTGTTCTGGGGGTCAAATGTGAAAGGAAGGAGTAGCCAGTTTAGAAGTGGGACACATGAGACAGGGATCTCAGTCTGAGTTTGTTGGGTGGTGGCCCTGGGGAATTGCAAGGGGCCTGCACTTGCCCAGTGGCTCAGGGGACACGCCCAATTTGCAGCATCCATCCAGGCTGTGGTGGGCTGGGGTACGGGGGCTTCAGGGAGGTGGAAGGGCAGCTTCCTGAGCTGTTCCTAGGCCAGTGGTCCCCAGGCCAGGCCTACGTTCAGGGAAAGTATGAGTGTCCACACACATGGTCTATCCTCGCCAGTGCCGACTGAGCAGGGAGCCACCTCATGTGTCCCCAGGGTCCATGTTCAGGGCCACCCAGGGGCTACTTCCAGGACTGAGCACTGGGGTTTCAGAAGCTTTCAAGGGAGTGGCAGGGGACAGTGTCCAGATGGGTGTGTGAACACGACTTCTCCCTACCCCACCCGCCAGGAAATGTTGAAATACAGCAAGAGCTGTGAGGGGGCCGAGGACCTGCAGGAGGCGCTGAGCTCCATCCTGGGCATCCTCAAGGCCGTGAATGACTCCATGCACCTCATTGCCATCACAGGCTATGACGTAAGTACCGCTGAGGGTGCCCCTGCCTTTTCCCCCTCCTGCTTGGAGGTGTTAGTGAGCCTATTTGGTGGGGGGATCTGCCAGGCAGCGGCTAAGGCCGGCCCACAGCTAGTGCAGAGCTGTGCCCTTTGATGATCATGGGTATCACCCGGTGTGAGTCGGGTCCCTGGGGAGGGTCTGCATGGGGGCTCAACAACGTGTCAAGAAAATTAGGAAGTGTTTACCCCTTAGAGGTGCATCTCTGAAAATCTCTTCATTCCTGGTCTTTTTCTGGGGTCAGCATCACTCGGGGAACATGTATGAATCTGTTTTCTGGGCTGATAATATGCAGTGTTCAAGGCACATCTCGACTTTCTCCTCTGTATGCCCATATCAGACCAGCCTATGAAAGTGTTTAGCTTCCTGTCAGTCTCTTCAGCACCCATTCTTGGTTTCTTTTCATTCATAGACTGTTTTTAGAGCAGTTTTAGGTTCACAGCCAAATTGAGAGGAAGGTGCAGAGATTTCCCATGTGCCCCCTGTTCCCCTACACACAGCCTCCCTTGCTATCAAGATCCCTATCAGTGTGGGGCATTTGTTACAATCAGTGAACTCACAGGGACACATCACAGACACCCAGGGCCCATCCTGTACATCAGGGTTCACTCTTGGTTTTGCTCACTGTGTGTTTGCACACATGGATAATGACATGTGTCCACCATGGAAGTCACCTTATAGACCAGTCTCACTGCCATACACATCCCCCGTGCTCTGCCTGTTCACCCTTCCGTCCTGCCCCCCACAAAGCACATCTGTTTACTGTCTCCATAGTTCTGCCTTTTTCTGAATGTGATACAGTTGGAATGCAGCCTCCGTAGACGGGCTTCTTCCTTCCACTCAGCAACAGGCTTTTAAAGACCCCCCCCTCCCACTTCCCCCACGTTTGTTTCTGGGTTTTAAATGCTCCTCGTGTTGCCCCTCATCCCAGGGGAACCTGAGTGACCTGGGGAAGCTGCTGATGCAGGGCTCCTTCAGCGTCTGGACGGACCACAAGAAGGGCCACGCCAAGGTGAAGGACCTGGCCAGGTTCAAGCCCATGCAGCGGCACCTGTTCCTGCACGAGAAGGCCGTGCTCTTCTGCAAGAAGCGAGAGGAGAACGGGGAAGGGTACGAGAAGGCCCCGTCCTACAGCTACAAGCAGTCCTTAAACGTGAGTGAGGCCCGTTCCCAGCAGCCGCAGACCGCCCTGGCGCCGGCCCTCTGGGGAAGGATCGGGGGCCCGCTCCAGGCCGTAACTGAGCCGCGGCCGGGACGTCCACCTTCTGGCGCGCGTCTCTTATCTTTGGATGCGGGCGCGCGGGATCTCTGGCATCCTCAGCCCCCCGTCTCAAAACTAACGACCGCCTCCTGTGTTGCGCTCTCAGATGACAGCGGTCGGCATAACGGAGAACGTGAAAGGTGACGTGAAGAAGTTTGAGATCTGGTACAACGCCAGGGAGGAAGTCTACATCATTCAGGTAGGAAATGGGGATCTTCCTCTCTCTGGCCCGGCGTGAGGGACTCCTCGGGTCTCATGAGGCTTGCCAGTGAAAGGCTTCCAGGGAGAGCTGGTGTCTAGAATCCTCCATGATGTTTTAGTTCCTGGAGGCCCAGAGCACCATTGTTCATCTGGAGGCACTGCCTGGGTTGTCTTTTTTTTTTTTTTTTTTTTTTTTTTTTTATTGATTTATTTTACAGAGAGGAAGGGAGAGGGATAGAGAGTTAGAAACATTGATGAGAGAGGGACATTGATCAGCTTCCTCCCGCACATCCCTATCGGGGATGTGCTTGCAACCAATGTACATGCCCTTCACCGGAATCGAACCTGGGACCTTTCAGTCCGCAGGCCGACGCTCTATCCACTGAGCCAAACCGGTTTCTGCAGCCTGGGCCGTCTTTAACCTGAGCTGGATCCCAGCACAGTGCAGGGGCACCCTGCAGGTCAGGGGGTCGGAGGTGTCCTTCCAGAAGAAGGAGCTGAGGCTGCCATAGCTCTGGCACAGGTGTGCCTGGACATGCAGGGAGCACAGCCAGCCTTGCCGTACTTACACGCAGGACCGGGCTCTCCTGGCGCATTCGTGAGCCCACACCAGAACCCGGGTGCCCCATGAGGGGGGGTCAGCCAGCACAGGATGTGCCCCTCCTACTTGCCTTCAGAATTCTAACCCCACCCACCCCGCCCGTGATGGCTTGGGCCCAGGGCCCTGTGGCAACCCTGTATCACACGGGATTTAGTTGTCTAACCCCCAAGAACCCACACACCAGTGCAGCCAGACCCAGGGGCCCTAGAGAGCTAAGGTGAGGGTGTGGGCCACCGCTCTGTCTTTCCACAGCTGCCCACCTGGCACTACCCCCAGGTCCCCCACTGTGTTGAGCCACAGTTCATGCTCCTTGTGGTCTCCCTCGCCCTGGAAGTTCAGAGTATACTTGTGAGATTTCAGACTCCGGCTTCCCTTGTCAGAGCCATTTCCCAAAGTCTTGACGCTGCAGAGCTTCCCCACTGAGTCAGCCTTCAGTGGCTGTGCCCTTTGCCTTATCGGATCATACCCTGAACTGGGGGGAAGTCCCGAAGTCAGGGGCCGCGCCACCGTTCCCTCCCTTCTCCTTCCTCACGTGCAATGCTCTCATTATCTAAGAGCATCCTCAGAAGTTTCGAGAGTAAAAGACCAAATTGTGTGGCCGGGACCGGTTTGGCTCAGTGGATAGAGCGTCAGCCTGTGGACTGAAAGATCCCGGGTTCGATTCCGGGCAAGGGCATGTACCTTGGTTGCGGGTACATCCCCAGTAGGGGGTGTGCAAGAGGCAGCTGATCGATGATTCTCTCTCATCGATGTTTCTAACTCTTTATCTCTCTCCCTTCCTCTCTGTACAAAATCAATAAAATATATTTAAAAAAAAAAAAAAAAAAGACCGAAGTGTGTGTGTGTTCGGGGAGCAGCAGTCCTTACCTCCCGGCATTTCTTTTCGGGGCGTAGGCACCGACTCCTGAGATCAAAGCGGCATGGGTGAACGAGATTCGCAAGGTGCTGACCAGCCAGCTGCAGGCTTGTCGAGGTAAGAATGTCTCCGGCCATTCTGCTCTCCTAGCTTTTGCTCCAGGGACATTTTTTAGAGATGTTCCAAGCAAGCTCAGAATTCATAGCTGTCTGAGATCTCAGGGCATTTAGAAAGAAAGGTGCCGGGGTCAGGTTCTCCTGCCATGCGTGGTGCTTTGTTTTCTCCCCACAGAAGCCAGCCAGCACAGGGCGCTGGAGCAGTCCCAGAGCCTGCCTCTGCCGGCATCGTCCAACACGAGGTGAGGGGCACATCGCCTGGGAAGGGTCCCAAGTGGGAATGTGCACAGGCCATTTCGAAAGTAAAGACTTGACTTGGCCCTTGTCACCCGACTCTCTTGGTTATGGGGTTACTTTGCATTGGCCCAGGGCCCCCCTGGAGTCACAGGCCGGTGGGCTAGTCCCAGTGGGTCAGCTGCAAAGCTGTGTGCCTCTGGCCCCACTCCCAGTCAAGGCCAGGCCCTGACGGCCCTCTCGTCACTTTCTGTCCGTGGTTATCCCACAGGGCGGTCAGCCCATGACGTGGCTGTTCCAGGTAACAGTACATCGCCAGCCTTTTCCAGGCAGTGGCCCCTCAGACAGGGACCCAGCCAGGGCTGGCGGCTCAGAGCCACAACTCACAGACGTGGGCATATTTCGGACACCAGCCTTCATGCTGGCTTTGTCACACCCTTTCTGAAAGCCCTCATTTTTCCTTTGACATTTTATTCACTCTCTTATTTTTTAACATATTGTTCCTATCTGTTATATAAGCCACCTACCTCTAAGCATGTATGGGGCAGGAGATGGTCTAAATGAATAATCCACAGAACAAGGGTTTTAAAAGAAAAAGACACACACACACTCAAAAAAAAAAAAAAAAAAAAAAAAAAGACAAAACCACCTTCTGCTCAATGCTAGGAAGGTGGTTTTGTCCCCCTTTTGTTCCATTTGGGTTTAATCTAGAAACGCCTGGCCCCTCTGCAGTGGTGGGACACGTACTTTAAATGCTGGATGGGAACTTAGGGATGTCCGGACACCTCCAATCCTCAGGGGAGAGTTTTGAAAAACTAACCAGGCAGCTGACAATTTCTTTCCCAATGTCTCTGACGTCCTTAGTCCTACGAAAGGGAATGCAAGAAACGTCAAAAAGTTGGAGGAAAGAAAAACTGACCCCCTGAGCCTGGAAGGATATGTGAGCTCAACGGCATTGCCAAAGCCCCCCGAAAAGGGCAAAGGTGGGTGTCTGGGGTGCCCCAGCCTGGGCGTCCTGTGAGCTGCAACGCAGGGGTCCACTAGAGGGCGTATCAGGGACACACGGCCACCTATGGGCCCAAGAAGCATTTGTAAGGAGTTCAGGGGTCCCCACCACCCTGCAAAGAGCACTGGAACCTCCCAGAGGAGCCCCTCTTCCTCATGGTCAGTGTGCGCCCCAGTCCAGCAAACCCAGCCCCAGAGGTGAGCCCCAACCTGATCGGAAACATGCCCTCCCCAGGGCCCCTTGGGCGGTGGGCACGCTCTGCACCATCCCTCTCTCTTCCTTTGTAGATGACACAGTCACTAGCTCTACCTCAGAAAGCTCTGCGCTTGCCAAGAAGCGCTTTACTCTGCAGGGCTTTGCTAACCTCAAAGGTCAGAAAGGTAAAAGGCACCCTCCGAAAACCGCTTCCTGGGCATGTCCCTTGCCAAGGTGGCATGCCTCCCATCCATCGTGTGGTGACCATTCGTGAGGACGTTCTCGGGAAGGACATCTGCCTGCCTCATCCCCAGCGCAGCCACTCGGGAGCCTTTTCCCGCCCATACTGGTGTGTCTGGCCCACGCAGCCCCGTGCTCTCTGCGGGGGGGCCTTTTCTTGGAAAAGGTGGACGTGAACTTTCCCAAGGAGGGCTTGCTCACCGACAACTTGTCATTTGCTTTTTTTGGCCCAACCCCTCCCAAGGCTCCCTCCCCCTTCCTTTCTTCCTTCTTCGTGTGGGTCCCTGTGGCATTCACCTTTCTGGCTGAGGTTACTATCTGTGCCAGAATGCCCAAGTGCTGCTGTCGGCTGCCTTCAGGGGGCCTTTGCTAGCGCCCAGGGCAGGTCAAGGATCCCTTGAGGGAGATCTCTAAAAACTCCACCTCGGAGGGCTCCTTGACAGTGAACTCTGTGGGAGGGAGATACACCAGGATAGCTCAGAAGCAAGCCCCAAAGTTCCGGGCATGCTCTTACGGGACGTCCCAGTAGACACTAAAAGCCAGTGTTGTCTAGTTTTCTTTTCATTGGCCCAGACGCTGGTCTAAAAAATTAGAGGGTTTTTCCCCCCCCAATTTATAAAATATTTTAAAGTTGGCCTCAACCTTAAAAAAAGAAAAGAAAAGACAAATCCTGGCACTTTGCTAGAGTAGAAAGAATATGCAAAGCCCAGAAAATGTACCTGGAACTCAGAAAATAAATCTAGAGAGGCCCCCCTAAAAGGATGATAACGATGGCTGGAGTCCATGGCTCGCCCATCTCATCTCTCATTTCCCTCGGGTTCTCCCTGTAACTGTGGGATCCCTCAGCCAGCGTGGTTTTTGAATCGGTGAAAATTAGGCCATTCGCTGTTCATGTCTCATCCCAGCATGGATTCAGTGTCTCTCGTGACCTCCTCGGTGCTCTGCATGCAAATTCCTCACTCTCTCTCTCTCTCTCTCTCTCTCTCTCTCTCTCTTCTCTCTGTTATATTTTTGCCTCTTCCTCCTTCTGCAGCTTCTCCTACCAGTCCTGACAAAAAAGCTAAGCGACACGAAGTTAAGAGCGATCCAACGCCTTTTGGGTTACGAGGTAGAGTGGCTCAACCTTCTGGATGTAGCCTGCCTTCCATTTTCCCGTCCGGCTAGGGACGCTGTCTGTCTTGCCACTGCACGTCACCTGGAATGCAAAACGAAATAGGTCTCCACTAGCCAGAAGCGAACTCTTTGTTTTGTTCAAAACATGATGCTCTGGCTGGTGGTACTGTGATGATGTCACGCTTCTGGGTTAAATTCTTCACACTAGGCCTGCCCAAAATCGACAGGCTACTGACCCCTGGCTGGCGTTTAGGTTGGGTTGGGCTTTATTACTCAGTAGCTTTATAGGCTGCAAGGCTTCCCTGTCCACAGGCCCCTGCAGCCCCAGCCACCCCCTACTTTACCAGTGTGTCCCAATGCTTCATGGTGGAGACACAGAATGTAGAAGCCATGGGATCCCATTAGACCTCTCATTTCAAGGGGAGATGGCCAATCATACTGACAGACGGGGTCAAATTCTGTGTTGGAAATTGGGCCTTCTCCCTTTTCACCCTCATATTCCATGGGTGAAGCCCCCACACTCACACCCCCACCCCTGCCACCCAGTTTGAGGGTTTCAAGTTTTCAAAGAGGATTTTACTTTGTGAATCTTCCTGAGTTTTGCAAGCAATTGTGAAGGTTCCCTTCCGGGGAGTAGGCAGAGCTAGAATACCGATACTTACTGCCAGAGAGCACCCCACCGGGAAGTCACCCAAGGCCCACTCTGGCCTCAAACCACACTCTGCACCCTGAGGACCCAGACTGCAGCCCTCCTGCTGCCCCCGGGCATGACAGCCCAGAGGCCAGGCCCCTCTCCCACTGCCTTCCCATGGGTGCACCAAGCTTGCCCCAGGTGCTCGGGAGAAGAGTCCTTTCCATTGACAATTTTCATCCCTTATATATTTTCTACCTAAGATCTGGAGACACCTGAGTCTTCCCTGCGGTGGTCTCAAGTTGTGTAGACCGCTGGCTGGGGCAGGAGTGAGTGTGGGCTTGAGCACAGCCCCGTGCAGCTCCAGTGCTGCTTTTACTGCTTTTTAGCCAGATTCTGTCACCTCTGCCAGCTCCTCTCCTCATCTGTAAAAGGAAGACAAGGCCACCGTGCAGGGCCACAGTAGGTGTGTGTGGAAGTCCTGAGCACGGCACCTGGGGCTCAGCAGCCAGTGCCCCTCCTCCTCTTCCTCACCATTGACCACTTCCATCCACAGCAGGTGACAATGAACTCAATGAACTCTGGCCCTCCCCACTGGCCCTCTTCTCACTTCCTGGGAAGCTTCATCGGCCATTGTTTTCCTCACTATCAATACCTAGGACTGTTTTTACAGGAAATAGACGTGACCGTATTCATGGTCACCGTGGCCCAAAGGTCCACCTGCAAAATCCCCAACATCCTGGAAGATGAGAGAGGGATGCCGTCCCGATCTGTGGTCGTTACACTGACACCTGACCACATGTGCTTGTCTTACCCTTGGGGCCTCGGGCATAAGTGGGGTCTCACGCTTTCTGGCAACGCCCTGGTCACACTGTTTGCAGGCAGGGACGCTCCTGGGTCCTGTTAAAGAGGTTCCTCAGAGGCTCCTGGGGCGAGAGAGGAGAGGCCACAGGCCTGGGTGCTGCTGGGTGCCTAGAAAACCTTTTATCTGCTGGCACCGGGGGGCTGAGTTGCTCATAAGACAAACACAACCAGGCTGCTCTCTAACGCGAAGGTGGACCCAAGGCCAGCTGGCCAGGAGGCACTGCCTTCTCTGTTCTCAGGACATTCTTCATCTCCCTGTCCTCACTGTCCTCGGACTTCTGCTTCTGTTTTGCCAGAAACCCCACCCTATCTTTCGTGGGTGGACAGGAGGGAGGAAGTTGTTTGCAGCCAGGCCACCCGGCGCTGAGACCCTCTCAGTGTGCCCTGCCCAGTGCTCTCCTTAGCTTCCCACGCTGGGTGACAACTCCAGACGTGCCTCCAGCAGGCAGGTCGGGCGGTTTGTAGCTGGGGACTCCCAGGCCCCAATTCCTGCACAGACACAAGCCCGGTAGTGACAGGAGCAGGGCCGTGCTCAGCACACCTCCCTTCGCCCCAGCACCCAGCTTCAGGCAGGCAAAGCTCAGAGGCTCTCAGAGCCTGCTGTGGAGGGGGGTTTCGGAGGAGCTCAGGGCTGCTGGCATCTTGCTGGTTTCTTGGGCTCTGAGGACACTGGCTGATACGTGCTCTCTCCCTGAGATGCACTATTCTGTGGCTGATGGGGAACTCTGGGTCCCAGATCCCTTTACAAGGAAAGCAAAAACGGTATTCGTTGCCTCTTTAGCACGAGGTTTTCATTGCCAAGCTCAAACCTTCTCAGCCCTGGGAACCGGCCGCCCCTTAGACAGCTTGCCCCTCTGCAGCCCTGACTTCATAAAGGGGAGCATGCGTTTTGCACTTGTCTGGCTGTGGCTGGTTCACACCCAGCGCCCTCTCCTTCTCAGGGAAAAGCATGCTTCCAGCCACCATAAAGGTCACTTGGAACGGGGTGTGCTTAAGCCCAGATCTGACTAGCAGGCTGCTTATTTCCCAGATCCACTTGCTTCCTGTCCAAAGGCTACTTAATGCCATGCAGTGGCCACGGTCAGATACTAGAGGGGTGTGGCTTCCGCTTGGTACTTTACTGCTGGCACTTACCCCATTTATTCAGAATCAAGAATTTATCACCTCCGGTCTCCCCAGAATGAACTTACTTGCATTCTCCCCTCCCCAAATGGGACATGCAGTTGCTTCTCCTTGGGGACACATGGCAGTGGAGGTGCTGATGAAGGAAGAGATGTCATTTATAAAGTCCAGAAGAAAGCTCTCCTCCCCTCGTTTCCTGGCCAGTGGAGGTGGCGGAGAGCATGCGGGCTGGCTCTGCAGCCTGAAGGCCTGGGTTGGGATCCTGGCTTTGCCTCCGTGGCCTGCAGAGCTCAGACACCTGCCAGTGTCAGTCTCATGAGGATCACAACCCTCTTCCCTCACACGTCGGGGGCTTAGGAGTGTGTCTGACACAGGGCACTGTCAGGAACCTCACCGTTTGTGTGGGGACCTCTCCTGGCCCAGGCTGGTGGGCACTGAGTGGTACAAAGGTTCCTTGAAAACACCTTCCCTTCCATATGTTTGCTCCAGCCCAGATGGGTGGCATCGGTCTAGCTGATGGTCTTCCAGGGTCCCTGTGCTCCCCTGGGACGGGGCCCAGCAGGCCGGAGGCCAAGTAGGGAGTGCTCTGCCTTCCTCTGGGAAGCCACAGGGCCTGCTGGGTAAGAGCTTATTCTCTCCCCTGATTGGCCTGGCAGTGAGGCAGGTGCTCTGAGCCCCGCCTCCCTGGACCATTGGCACAGTTGAGCAAGCAAGCATGGCAGGCATTTCGGGAGTCGGCAGCAGTCTTTATACTCTTGGGAAAGGGGCACACGCTCCTGGGAAAGGGGCACACGCTCCACACGGGTGGCACATTCCGGAGGTTGCCGGGATTTCTGTAGATCATCTTCAGGCAGGCTTGTCATTGCGGGCGACCCTCACCGGAGCCTGTTTCTCTCTCAGGTTGGAGCAAAACATCTCACCCCTTGGAGGCCCCTGAGGACAATGACGGCTGGTCGAGCGCGGAGGAGCCGATCAATTCCTCAGATGCAGAGGAAGAAGGCGGAGTGGGCCCCAGGAAGCTGGTAATCTCCCTCTCCCCCCGCCTGTGCCCCCCTCAGGGAGGCCACCCTGGTGCTGCTGGTCCCGGGAGCCCCAGAAGCGTGGTGGTCGGCAGCTCCCATGGCCACTGGGAGGGATGCTCAGGTGCCAGGGCTCCCTGTCGCTGGACAGCCTCTGGGGCTGGTGTTCAGCACCCGGAGCAGAAGCAGAGGGTTTTGCGTGCCTTCCCCCCAGGCTCCCGGGAAGTACACCGTGGTGGCGGACGACGAGAAGGGGAGCCCCAGCGCGCTTGCCGTGAGGAGTGGCGACGTGGTGGAGGTGGTCGAGGAGGGCGAGGAGGGCCTTTGGTAAGATGCCCCACCATGCCAAACAGGGTCCCGGGTTCGATTCTGGTCAAGGGCATGTACCTTGGTTGCAGGCACATCCCCGGTGGGTGGGGTGTAGGAGGCAGCTGGTTGATGTATCGCTCTCATTGATGTTCCTAGCTCTCTATCCTTCTCCCTTCCTCTCTGTGAAAAACCAATAAAATATATTAAAAAAAAAAAAAAAGAAAAGAAAAGAAAAGAAAAGAAAAGAAAAGAAAAGAAAAGAAAAGAAAAGAAAAGAAAAGAAAAGAAAGAAGATGCCCCACCATGTGCTCCCCCTCGGGCCACTCGGGGCACACAAGCCAGCGCCCCTGACCGGCCCGTGCCCCTCCTTGCAGGTATGTCAGGAACCTGACCTCCAGCAAGGAGGGCTGGGTGCCTGCCAGCAGCCTGTCCACGCTCCTCGGCAAGTCCAGCTCGGCGCAGTGTTTGAGCAGCTCAGGTAAGACCCCCCGTTCCACGCTGGCTGTGCCCTGAGCCCACCGGGTGCCACCACCTCGAGCCTGTGCACCAAGAAGGAGGGGCCGGCGTGTGCACGGACGGAGCCGAAGCCCTTCTTGCCTGGTTTTCCCGCAGAGTCCAGCGCAGGGTCCGCTCCGCTGAGCAACTCCTCCAGCTGCAGCGAGAGCTGCGGCGCCCCCCTCTCTGACCTGCAGGGGTAGCACCCGCCGGGCCCCCCGTTGCAGGAGGCCAGCCTGCGGCGAACCTCTAAGTTTTCCTTTGCTTGGGCTTGCCTAGTTTGGTGAGGGGCCGGTGCTCTATGACGCCCTGGACCAGGAGGACCCTGACAAGACCCGAACGAGGAGCTGCCTGCTGCCCACAGAACCTCGTGGTGCGGGACGCGGGGACACGCAGAGGAGAGGTTCTGGAAGAGTCTGCCTCCAGCCTCCATGCCGGGATCCCCTCCCAGGGCACAGACACCCAGCTTCCTCGGGAAATGGGAAAGTCTGGGGGTGCTGCAGACCAACAGACCCCCTGTGAAGAAGGGCTCCGAGGTGGAGGGCCCCTCCTTCCGGCCTCCGCCAGGCAGCCAGGGAGGAGCCGGGCCCAACCGCTCTGCTTTGGTTTCTGACACTCCTGGTCTGGTGCTCTCACAGGGACGTGCATACTATGGGACTGCCTCCAAAAGACGTCACTGATTCACTGACCCAACAGCTTGAAGAGAGAGAGGGTGGGTGGGGGGTGCGGGAGACTCTTTTGTCTTTTACAAATTTTTTTTTAAAAGCAGGGACGAATGCCACAACCATTTCTTCGTGGCACTTTGGCCTCTAATCTTTACCAAGAATCACTGTGTTTACATGAGATGACAATTTGATACTGCATTTGATACACAACTATTTTTTTGTTACTGGGGTTTACATTGCAGCACGTTGTTCATGAATGGTTTTTGTGGGGGGGACTCTCTCGTGGAAATTGACGGCAGTCTCCGAAGGCCACCTGGTGACAGGTGAACGGAAATACGTCCCTTGATAAAAAATCAGGCAGCATTTCTACTCACGAAAGCAGTTAGAAACCAAGGAGATGGCTTTACCTGTGTAGTTCCTTTTCGGAAGGAAATTTAAACCATCATTTAAAATATTAACCTTCTTTTCTACAAAAAAAAAAAAAAGTGAGGACTCTTAAATTTTTTTTTTAACAAGCTTCACTGAATTAGGATTTTTAAATTGTTTTTAAAGAATAAATAAAGATGCATTTTCTGCAGGGTATCTATCATCTGAACCAACGATGTCATACGCAGCTTAGTGCAAACCTGAGCTCCACTCGCCTCTGCCTCTTTCCAACCTCCTCCACCTGCACTCGGAGTGAAATCGCCCTGCGTGCACTGTATAAAACCACCCCAAGTATAGAGATGCAGAGGTGCAGGGTTTATTTTACTCCAATCAATGCAGAACTGGAGAGAAAGCTCTTCTGTTTTACCTTTTGTGTGTGTGTTTCAGAAACAAATTCTGTTCTTTGGAAACACTCTCTGCCTCCGGTCGGGGCAGGTATTTTTATATGTGTGTATATATGTTGATGTGTGTACATATGTATCCAATGTAAGGGATGTATTTATAGCCTCCATGCTGCTGGACATTGTCACTTTACAGCCCTCCCCGAGCCCGCGCCCTGCCACAGCGAGGCCCACGGGCTTCCTCCCCACCGCCATGGGCCAGGCCTCCGCCAGCCAGGCCGCCCGGAGTGTGGTAATAAAACAGTCAAAGTGCAAGACCTGGCAGCTTTTCTTCTGGTGTATAAATTATCTGAGAGGAAAAAATAAATGATGTGTCTCATAATTTAATTAATATATTGATTGTTCGGACACCGTTCCTGCCATCTCAGCCTGGGATTGCCCACCATGTTTTTTGTGATTGCTTTCCTCATAAAGGCACTTTAAAAACCTCACGTCTTAGCCAGTGTTTTGTGTTTCATTCTGCTGATGTAAATGACATTTGAACACCTGGGTTCTTTATTATACGGATGGAGTTTGAATAAACTCCATCCTTTGAGTTTGAATAAACTCTTGCTGTCTGCCTTCGTCTGCCAAGGTGCAGAAGCCCTCAGGCTGCGTGCCCAGCGCTGCAGGGCTGGTTTTCTCATCTTTCACAGGTTGGCAAGCACGTGTTTGAACAGAAACGGGGCAGGCCGGGAGCAGGTTCCATACACTTTACTTTGTCAGAGAAGTGGTGAAGATAGAATAACATCAAGCTTATTATGTATGTCAACAATGTAAAGGTAACAAAAGCCATGTAAGATGACCATCCCAGAACAAGAATACGTTTGATATCTTTTGAACCAGAAAGGTAGAGAGGAAAGAAGGGTTGTTGATCCGGTAGAAAAAGAGTAGGGTACAGAAAAGGAAAATCGTGATGAACAGGAACGCAAAAGATGATGGAAGGAATAAGTCCAAATTTCTCTCAGTCGCAACAAATGTGATGATGCTACACTGACGTGTGAAAGGGTATCAAATTGGATATAACAACTGCTAAGAGAGACCATAAAACAAAGTTAGGCAAAGGTTGAAAATCAAAGAGAGAAAAAAGATGTAGCAGACAAACTATAACCAATAGGAGGCCGGGCTAGCAATGTTGATAACACATGAAATGCAATTTAGGACTCGGTAAGCATATAACAATTATGCTCAAAATATGGAGGGCAAACATCAGCAGTCAAGGGTGAAAATGTAATTATCTCTTACAGGTATTAATGTCCATTTGTCCCTAAAAGTATAAAAAATATGTATTATTTTCCCAACACACATGAAATACACACAAAATTTTACAAAACAATGAAAAGACAATTTTAAAGGTTAGCAAAGAAATGTCATTGGAAATTCTGATATCTGCAGGACTACAGAATTATGCATATGAGTGCTCACCAGTGCAGCTAAAGCATAGCTTAGAGTGACATTGATAGCCAAGCTGCATTTAATTTTTTTACATGACAAAATTAATGAGTTTACCATTTAAAGAAGCTAAAAGTAGCCGGGACCGGTTTGGCTCAATGGATAGAGCGTCGGCTTGGAGACTGAAAGGTCCCAGGTTCGATTCCGGTCAAGGGCATGTACCTTGGTTGCGGGCATATCCCCAGTAGGGGGTGTGCAAGAGGCAGCTGATCGATGACTCTCTCTCATCGATGTTTCTAACTCTCTATCTCTCTCCCTTCCTCTCTGTACAAAATCAATAAAATATATTAAAAAAAAATAATAATAATAATAAAAAAATAAAGAAGCTAAAAGTAATACCAATATAACTCAAAGGAAGAATTAGTACAATCAGAGAAGAAAAATAATAAAAATTAAAACAAATCAGTAAAATAAATACCTTGTTCCTTAAAAATAATAAAATACAGCAAATGATAAAAAAAGAAAAAAAGAAACAAAACTGAAAAACTTCACAACAAATAAAGGCTTTAAAATGAGAGAACTATCCTAGCTGGTTTGGCTCAGTGAATAGAGCATTGGCCTACAGACTGAAGGGTCCCAGGTTCGATTCTGGTCAAGGGCACATGCCCGGGTTGTGGACTCAATTTCCAATGGTGGGGGGAGGGAGGAGTGCAGGAGGCAGCCAATTTGTAGCCAATAATTCTTGTCATTGACGTTTCTATCTCTCTCTCCTCCCTTTCTCTTTGAAATCAATAAAAACGTGTTTTTTTTTTTTTTAAATGTCATAGGTGATCAATAAAACATCACCTCTAAGGACTAATTCTTCCTGTTGGCGAGTAGGCTGGGACCTGGCCAGAAATAAGCAGTGCTGGTGTCCCCGGTCTCCACCTATGCACAGAAAGGTTATGATTTCCACAGAAGTTAGTTGCCCTAGCTGTGCCCGGGGACCAGAAGGAAAGGGAGGGACAAGACCTGGATGCCAGGAAGAGAAGAGTGCCATCTGTAGCTGAAACAGAGTTGGGCAAATAGGGGCAAATGCCCTTTCTGGGGGCTTCTCCACCGGACTCTCTAGCTCCCCTAAGAAACCAAGCCTCCGCCTAAACCGGTTCGGCTCAGTGGATAGAGCATCGGCCTGCAGACTGCAAGGATTCCGGTCAAGGGCATATACCTTGATTTCGGGCACATCCCCAGTGGGAGGTGTGCAAGAGGCAGCTGATCAATGTCTCTCTCTCATCAATGTTTCTAATTCTCTATCCCTCTCTCTTCTTCTCTGTAAAAAAAAAAAAATCAATAAAATATATATAAAAAAAGAAAAAAGAAACCAAGCCTCCGAGATGAGGAGAGTCCATCCGTCTCCTCTGTGGCTCTCTTAAAAACATTAACATTTACACTCAAAACATGCTCTCCTTTTACTAGTGCGATTACTGCGGGCTGTGGTTTTTCACTGCAGTTTAACTTGGTTTTCCCAGCTGCCGTGATAGATCCTATGGGCTTTGAAATCCTAAACTGCACTGGAGATGATTGTGCCAGATGCATATCCAAACACCCACATTTCAAAGAACACACACCTGCTTCAAAGACTCAGCCCTGCTTCCTGGGCCCGGATTCCTGGACCTGGCGTCCTGGGCGCAGGCCGGGTCCTTCTGTTCCTGATCCCCCCTCCAGCAGGCCTTTGGCACCAAGGGCTTGGGAGGCCAGGTCTCCCTCCCCCCTCCCTTGGGCCATTTGAGAACTTTGCTCGCCTCCCCCACCAGAATGTCAACAGACAGGGAGGGACACCATGGACCTTGCCACGTCTGCCCAGTCCCGTGGGCTGGCCCTCCTCTGCCTTCTGCTGGGTCTGCAGGGGTCTCTGGCTGCAGGTATGTTGGGTGCTGGAGAGGGTGGATGGAGGTTTCGCTATGGACCCTATGAGGGCAGCCCAGCTGTTGGCAGCCCAGCCTCCCAAACCTCGCCTGTTTACAGGGGCATTCCTGCTCACAGGAGTATTCGCTGGCTCCAGCGTGATCTGCCCTCCTCCCAGACAGCAATCAGTGTCCAGCTGTCGATGGCACAGGCTTGGGCAGAATTATTTTTCAGAGATTTTTAGGAACCTGTGGTGCTTTGCTGGTCCCCGGTGGCACAACTCCGGTTGTGCAGTGAGACAGGAGCACATAATTTGGGGGGTTGTGGGGGAGGAGGGTGCTTCCCTCTTACTCTGCTTTCCTAGGCTTTTCCGTTGGCAAACGCCAGGGCCGGCGTGGGGATGCCGGGCTGCACTGCTCCTCCACCAGGGCTGTGACTGTGGCCACCCTCCCGCCC